AGTGGAGCACGAAACGGCATGAGCCCTCGCATGCACGGCCGTCTGCCTGCTGTAAACTAAAGTTATGGCGGCATCGCTCATGTGCCAAACACTTAGTGAAATCAGTCTATTGGTATGTTGCAGGAAGGATCTTCCGAGATAAATTAAAGGACTTTTATTCACACCTATAGTGGAGACTGAGCAGTTTTTCAGCTACATACAAGCTTTTTTTTTATCTTGAAACGAAAAGCTTGCACTTGGCACTTAAAAGGTTTTGATCGTCGAACTGGCTCATGCATGGCGGAACTTCACAGCACATAGAAGTTACAACAGTGAGCCACAGGGTTCGAGCCTGTCTACCATTCAAGCAAGGCGAGCATCACTTAAGGCTTCATGTTTAAGCTTACCTCATCCCAGTTTTGTAAAGCCGTACAGCAATACCATCAATGGTGCAACAATATAGCTCATTCGAAATGCTATGTTTGCACGAATGCTCATGCAAAGGCAGCGAGCTGCATGTGCGCGGCGTCACAACAACACTGACATTGTAAAATCTGGTGAGCGAGCAGGCACCCATCAAGCCGGCAAATAGGCTTCGTGCCTCCCAACATACCTCAACGTTCAAGTAGCAGTGGACGACACGGTCGACATGACCTATATTAGGCACAAGCATGCGTTTGTGCCCCTGAATCGCGGCCAGCGATTCCTCGCTGTTACTGTCGCTCTCGATTTTACGAATCAAAAGCACCAACATCAAAGCCTGCTTGCTAAATGCCGCCGCCATGTTGACACTGAAAAACCTGACTATTTTCTGGGTGCGCCGCTGTGCAACACCCATGCACGCCACCAAAGGAGGACGTCCAGTGCTGCCCCACCAGTGGCGGGGAGCTCGGTGAAGGATGCGATTGCCATCTGGTGTGCACCCGTGAACTCAAAGATAGACACTATTGCCCACAACATGGCGTCCGTTTCAAAGCCGGCAGCAGACGAAAGTTCGCCCAACAAAAGCTAATTTTCGAGAAAAATAAATTAATTTTTGTCGGCAGCAGTTAAAAATACATTGGTGATCTTTACTTCTAGATTAGCAAGCAAGTCCATGCTTTTTTTTAGCTCTAGTAAACAAAACTCTTAGGCGCCCGCCCCCGTATCCGGCTTGAGCGGCATCGCCTGTCAACGTAACTGCGCGGTGCATTATGGGAAACGTCCCATAATGCAACGCGCGGGTCTCACTAAAGACCTGCATGTTGCATTATGGGACGTTTCCCATAATGGCGTCACGAGGGTCTGCACGCTGCATTATGGAAAACATCCCATGATGCAACGCCTTCTCCTCCGTACCCCTCCCTCCCTCCTCCTCCTCCTCAAGAGCTGTGCTCCGATTCGGCATTACAGGGAAATGTAAATGTCTACTTTTTTTTTTTAATAGAACCCCTCTCAATCTCAAAATTTTGCTCGTGCATGTTCCGTTTTATTAGGGAAGTTATCAGTTTAGTCTCCATCCCATGACCTACGCATTAAAATTTGAAATTGATGTCACACGACCCGTCTTCACAGGACCCATACATCAATTCCATTTCCCCGCTAAATATGACGGGGGAAATTGATGCCATGTGACCTACGAGTCATCAGGTTGCCGCTATATTTAGCGGGAATTTATACAATCATTTAACTTTTGCATTTGATGCATTTAGAGGACTTGGAAGATCAAGGTTCTTTTAAAAAAATCCGGTTCTGTCACACGGATTATAATTTTTTTGCAGCATTACCATTAAGAGGTCTTAACTGCGTGTATTAGGTAGAGCTATGGTTTGAGCCAATCACATTTCGGGGACCCCATCCATCAGAGGGGAGGGAGGGGGGGGAGTATTGGATGATTTTAATTATAAAGGGGTTAATGAAGAAAATTAAATGTCTCTAAAACAAAGAATAATCAGCCCTACTAACTTGGCCCTTTCATTGCTTAGCCTGACTAAGAGTCAGCAGCTTCGGTAACTCCAGGAGGCCCTCTGGAACTCCGAAGGGTCCGAGGACCCCCGTTCGAGAACCACTGAGGTAGAGGTTGGCTGTTATTAGAAAATACAGGCTAGGTGGCACAAACTGCTGTCCAATTTAAAGGGTTCAGCCACATGCATCCACCCATCCATGTTTGCCAAGCAGAGTTGCCTGCTTTCCTGATGCACACTCAAGTTCCACAAGGTAATCTTTGCACATGACAAGTAGAGTGGCACTTGTTAAGTCACCTGTACAAGCTACGTCTAGTACCGAGGGCATTTTATTTCGAGTCGCATCGCTCTGCTCTTGTGCCTGTCCGTTCTTGGAACGCAATGTTTCGCGGAAAACCTTGGAAGAGCCTTCTCCCTGCCTTGTTACAGGACAGCGGCAGCCAGGGCTTCGAAGAGGTGTACGCCCAGTGCGTGCGCTGCTGCAATGCATTCTTTGACCAGCTCAGCAGCTGAGCGCCACCCTGGGCCGTTTGGCAGCGCAGGCGAGCCTTTCCTCCCGCTCGCGCTTTTTCTCCAAGTACTTGCTGTCGTTGCTGAACCATTGTTTGTACAGGGGGGCCAGGCTGCCCGTCGATGCAGGCAACTGTTGACCTGTTCCAAGTTGAAGTTTGAATAAATATTATTGTCTCGCAGGCCTGCACTTCACTCATAGAAACTGTGAAGGCTGGTTCAGACGTTTGCCTTTGAGAGTGAACTTTTGACTCCCCGCATTCCACTGTGACACGCTGCACTATGGCAACGTGAGTTACCGTAGCAACCCTTTCACAGTAGACAGTCACAAGCGGTCGTAGTCAGTTAGTCTAAAATGTATGTGTCTGACTCTGCACCAGCCCTAACAAATTTCAGGTCAGTTAACTCGATGCTTGTAAATACTGTTTGCAAATAATTTGGCCACGCATAACTCGGGATGGAGAAGCGTGTACGACAGTGTGCAACGAGACATTCGAAGAGCCATAACAAACAATTGGCCGCTTCCATAATCTACAACAAAATAAATGCAAACTTCGATCGTAAAAAAAAGAAAAAAAAAATTGTGGGTGTTTACGATAACGAAGTGGGAGCTACAATCTTTTGAGGTTATTGACTAACCTTTGAGCTGTTCCGAGATGCACTGGTTCATGTCCTTGAGCACCGCAGCCCAGCAAGGCAGTTCGCTCGCATCGCCCGAACCTATTTCTGGCATTTGCATACGTTGCCAACTCTTGACATCTTGCTGTACAAGCAAACGGAACAGAAATGCGTTTGGCATTGGGCCCTTGTAACAAACACTACTCAACCTTGGTCGTTCGCAAAGAACTCTGCAAATCCATATCTCGTAGCCATAAACCAAGCTGTAAGGCTTGTTGAAGTGGGCTTGTGATGAAGTCTATGGCTGGTTAAAATGGTGTTTTGGTGCGCTTTTTCTTTGGATATTCTTCCTCTTTGTCTAAAACTTTCAGCAACTGGGAATACAGTCTGCGTCTGTGTTTTGCCCCTTCCCTGTTTATTCTTTTTGTTAGTTAAGAAAAAGCAAACTCCGAATCTTAAACATTTGGGGTTTTATCAAAAATAAACTGATAAACACCGAATTTGCAATAAAAACTAAGCACCGAAAAACACCCGCCGAATTTCATCAAAAATAAACTCAGAAAACTCAGAACCCTAAGCATTGCCGAGACTCTTAGCGCTAAGAACGGCACGCATGTATGGTCACCATCCTATCGATGTTGTCCTCTCTAAAGTGGTTGCTCAAAGTGACATTCGAGGGTTTCTAAGGTTTTCAGGGACCAGTTGAAATCCAGTTTGAGTAACCCCAACATAAATTTCTTATTAAGTATCTGAAATAAACTCGGATTCATAAAGCAAGGAAGAGGTATCACTTTTTAATTCAAACAAGCTTTGTAGAAAAAAAAAAAAAAAGAAATCATTGGTATTGTTTAAATCTAACTTTCATCCTCAACTACGTCTTTCTTGGGCAAAAAGAAGGTCACGTCCATCGGATGCACCCAGTGCTTTGTCTGGGGAGGGGGTGGTCTAAGGGCGGGTCTCGTACCCCTCCGATTTTGACGGGGGGTCACCAACGCTAGAGCCAAAGCTCTGGCGTTGGTGAAAGCACAATCATAAGCACTTTATCTTGTAATCAGAAATGTTGGGATTTTTCCCATTCAAGTTTTGTTGAGTAGCCATCTCCAGAGAGAGAAAAACTATGTTGTCAGTGGCCATGTCGATTTTGTGTGGAACAAAATGGCAGATGTTGACGAGAATAATAATCGGAGTCCATGCTGTTGGTCAGTTTTGTTTCCTGAGAAGTATGCCCGGTTCCGCATGCGTTTTAATCGAGTGTGTTCTTTGTGCCTCTAATATGACCCCCCCTCCTTACCAAAGTTTGTAGAGAGCACCCCAAAACTTACGGGAGACTTTAAGCACTAAACATGCCCCACTAAAAAAGTGCCTTCCCAAAACTGATGGAAGCTGGGAACAGTGGGGCCAGAACTACATGAAATTAGTGAGTGTGTCGGAGTAACTCTCGGCAACTGAAAATGTGGTGTACGTGATATTTCGATCACGGTGGAAAGTCATGGTGTAAGATATATAAAGATATAGAAGATATAAAAAGCATGTGGGATTAGCAGAACGATTGGAGTAATCCGTACGTCAGGCGCCGAGGGCCGAGAATCTGCCGTCCGAGTGTTCAAACTCCGCTCGAGCAAAACAGAGTTTGAGCGGCACATTTTTTTCTTGCATCTTTTTGCACGATCATAATCGAAACATCACATGCACCATATTTTCATCTATGAAAAGTTACTACATTTAACTCTTACGCACTTGTTAAAACAGTTTCACTACCACAACTAGGGAATTAATTTCGGCTTCTGGTTGGCCAAGAGAGCATGTCAAGCCCCTGTTCTCCGTCTAGTACACGCCCTGGCTCCGACTGCTTCTCCCATTGACCAAACTCTCTCTATATATACAGCTTTGAGGGGGTCCAAAGAGCCTCATGAATAACAAATGGATGGTAGGTTATGCCACCTGGTCTACAAATTTAGCAACCATAATTTTGTCGTCGCAGTGCAAGCGATCGCTCACCGTGGGTCCAGTCGCAGGGCTGTACAAACAGACTGGGTTCGACGCATCTGTGCCCACGACCCAGAGGGAGCCCTCTTCGTCAAAGCACACGTCCCGAGGTGGCGAGCAGTGCTCCACCCGCTGCACCACTCGGAGGCAGTCTGCCTCCCATTTCAGCAGAAGGATGTCGCACGTCCTGCAAGGATCGACGCAGACAATCCAGATGGCATCTCCAACTTGGCTCCAGGCTCGAGAGAGAAGGGTCCCATACATTTTGGCCACTTTGAAACGGTAGGGCATAGAACGCTGGTGATCCCAACCTGATCAGGTTGTTAGCTACGCTTTGATATAAACAAAGCAGCAGCAAAACATCACTACCAAGGCTTGCATCTAGTTTTTTTTTTCTCTAGCTTTAATTCGCACAATAGCGGGGACGTCGCGCGTCGAGCACTCCAGACGACAAGACGCGTAACGTCGCAGCAAGTGAACTACACTCACCCGTCGAGTAGGCACGCGAGAGTGTCATCGGAGGGAAGCACGGCTAGACGACACACGGCAGGCTCTCGTTCGCTCTCTTCGCCTCGATTCACCAGAGCGCCGAGGTCTAATCGGTGCAATTGGCGTCCGGTGTCGCGGCACCAGACTCGCACTGTGCCGTCCTGCAAGGCACAAAGACATCTCGCTGGCACGTTCGCTGCCAGGCTTTAACCCAACGCACAAAAGAAAACCGATTTCGCAATGGAACTATGGCAGAAAGAAAAGTGCAGGAGTTGAACTGCCGACCGACGTTTTTGCCCACTCTCTTTTCTTTTAACCGTTCACGAGTGGAATTGTCTCGATCACGAAATTCTGAATTCGTCCGTGTTCTCTTCAGTTTTACGAGGTGCATGTGACATACTGTTATAAGCTTTATAAGTGTATTTTGTTTACATTTTTGCATAAAGACTTACAGAAATGGAACGTCCTGTCTATAAAGGGATGTCTGATAGCCTATCCATCGTGCTAAGGCCACTACAAAGAGTGTGACAATGAGGGCGAGGTGCAAAGCCAGATGCGAGCTAAGCTACACAGTTCAACACGATACCAACTACTACATAACTATCGCGTTATAATTAGCTAGATGCAGGTTACAAGAGAATAAAGCGTACGCAGAAGAAAATAACAAGATAGATGGTACTAGCTGAGGAACACAAAAACGGTAGGCTCATCAAACTTACGGGATGGATTTTCATTGGTAAACGTGTTAGCAGGTGTGCTGGTTCTTGCTGGCATTTTAAAAAAAATTTACAGGCTAAAGAAACTACCGAGTGTAAAATGGAGAAGGAAGAGAGAATTTATGCCAATGAACTGTCGCCCTATGATTCATTTTTCAACCGGTTTTTCAAACTCGTAAATGAAACCTACCCTGGCCTTATTTAAGAAGACTGTGTTCCTTTTACGCCGTATCTATTCTTATCACAAACGGTAATAAGTAATACGCTCGAGTATCAAAGAGGAACCCTCCATCACTATCATTAATGAACTCATTTAGAGATTCAGCCACTTTTTCATTGTCAAGTGGTGTGCTAAAAGATGCTGGCATCTGCTGAAAAAGCATCAGAAGCTGTTCCAAACCAACATTTTACGTGCTACAGAACCTGCTACAAAAGGTTGAATGTCGCTTCCATCACCAAGTCCCTTTTGTGAGTGTACGGACAAACTTTTATCGCTAAAATATGTCCGATCGTGGACTCCCAAATGGACAACATTTGTCGATAAAGCTCGCCCACCAGAACCTAAATGCGCAACCGGGAAAGCTAAACATGGTGATTTTACTTAAGGCTCGGGTGAAATCATTATGCTTAACGATTAACAACAAACTGATCAAACTTCTGCCCGATTAGTATCAAGGGTGTTTTCTCCAGTGTAAACCATAATATAAAACTTTAAAGACTGCTCGCCTTTTGTTATTTCTTACAAGTTGTTTTGTCAGCTTGTGGCCGAAAATATACATACCGTAATATCCCGAGTCATCGCCCACCCCCCTACCGCCTGAAATTCATTAAAAAAGTAGGGTGGGCCATGTCTCGGTGGGTGAGCACAAACACTTGAAAAAAAGCGGAAAAAACCGCCTATTTTTCTCTGCGTATCTAGCGCCGATGCACAAGAGATACATCAAACTCAAAACTCGATTTAGTTTCATTGTTTTATAGAAAAAAATGCTCACGAAAGAATATTTTACTATAGCGAAGTCCGTTGCTTGCACACGCGCTACAAACACCGCCGATTTGCATATAGCACAAACGTTTGTTCCGTGAAAGAATGTCACCATTATGTTCTCCTAGTTAGTAAAAAAAAAAGAAAGAAAAGCCTACAAGAAAATAGAAAAACCGACCAGGCGCAACGAGCGAGCGAGCGAGCGGACCAAAGAAGCGACCAAGAGCAATGCTGGGAAAGCGGGAAAGCCGCCGGTCGCGTTGGCAAATACTTTGGCGTCGGGCCAAGTCGGGCGCCTTGTCAATTGCAAGCTCTTGCGCAACTTTCTTGTTTGGTGCGTACATACGTGCGTCCGTGCACGGCGGGCTATCAATGCACGGTTGGGACGCTCTGCAAACGTCTGTGTAGGACGTTCCAGCAAAGCTTTATTTACGCTTTGGCTTTGCCTAAAATATTGCACAACCGCGGTCGCGACGGGCGGGAGAAAGGAGCGGGTTCGCGGTGACCTTACTTCGGCGGAGACAGACTTTGACCTAACACTCCGCGGTTACGTTAACAAACTCTTATTTTGTTATCTCCGTCGTTTTCTTTTCGCACGGATACACGACCACTTTGGGGTCGCTCACAGAGGAAATGCGTAAACAAAAAGAAGTGTCTTTCCCTCCTTCGTTTTACTTTGTCACGGACGTCCTCCAACTGTAAGGTCCGCGGCCGCGTCATTCGGGTAGGATGAGTGTTCGCGGATCGCAGAGTCCGCGCTGGGGTATTTGAACGGGTGGGCGATGACTCGGTGTTTTTTCGGAAATCGATATTGGCCCAAAAAATGGGGTGGGCGATGGCTCGGGGATGGGCGATGACTCGGGATATTACGGTAGTCTCTAAATATCTCCGAGACAATGGAGCGGTTTAAGCCATCGCAAATATAATCATTGCAGAGAGACCGCACTGTCTCAAGTTCCTGCCCGTCATGTCAAGCAACAGGGCACTAGTTTAAGTTTGAGGTCGGTACTCTTGCTGCAACATAGATGGTGACAGCATCAGTTTACACTCTGCAAGTTCGTTCCGGCCCGGTTCTCCGTGCGGCACTCCTCGAGTACAATGCATTCTGGGAGAGAACTCGCACGGTGCCGAAACGTGTAGAACAAACCCGCCATATGTATACAACACTGTATCGATCAGAGATGTGCAGCAGTAGTTTAACATCAGCTTGTAGCACTTGGTTCTTTTTTTTTTTGTGAGGCCGTCACCTCGAGAAGTCCTGCAGAAACTCAAAAGCATTGTGCCATAACATGCAGAAAAAGAACTTTGTTGGCTGATGAGTTCTGTTTGATATAGTTTATTTTGTCAAAAATTAGCACTGCCTCAGGAAGAGGGACCAAGGCCTCACTCAGTTCATTCCCTATGAAATTTACATTTAATCTATCTAACGTACAACAGAATCGCTGCACCGTCCAACCATGGTTACTACAGTACTGCACGTCTTTAGCGTTGGTCTATAGAATGCACGTCTGTCACTTACCCCTGACCCGGACACTAACACTTCGGGGTGATTGGGTAATAGGGCCAGACACGAGACAAATCTGTAAAATAAACAAAATACACTTGCACTTAATGGGAAACAGTTTAATTCAAACTACACGATAAGCCATGCAGTTTAACACTGATGTCTAGTTTCAGTGCCATTAGCAAACAAATCACGAAACACGCTTGCAGTGGGGAACAGAGTGACCCTAATTCTTTTCACCACGCAATTATGCATTTGTAACAACATTACAAATTTATAATCAAATGCGAGGGGATCGGAGACGCCTTCCCACTGTTCGTAGCCCCTTGGTGGCTGCAATCTCGCACATCTGGACCTCACATGCACACAATTAACATTTATGCTAATTTATGTCAATCATTTACTAGCCTAACAGCATAAGAGGTTCACGAAGAGTCGAGTCGACTCAGCTGTGGTCTTCAGCAGTTTAAGGATTGAAGACAGCGTTCACATCGCCGTGGCCCAAGGCTTCCAAGGCCGAGGCACCTCGGAAAGTGCCGACTCACTGCGTGTGTCCCAGGCAGAAGGTGGAAATGTTGTAGCAGTTTGGGAAACGGGACACCTGGATTTTCTCGTCACGGTCGCAGACGGCCAGGAACTGGTCTTCCTCCCCAATCACCTGCAGATGCAAGCCGGTCCCAGAAATGCTGAACGCTGTCAGACACGTAAAATATGGCAGACAAAGAGTGCTCCAAGGCATCATATGTGTCCGGGGTCACAGGGTCTATCAAATGGCCTGAGCCCTTCATTTTTCTTTCGGGCAACTTCAATGCGTGCCTTGTCATAGCGTCTCGGTGTACACGGGGTCAGTGGATGTTCCCACAGTACGGAAATTCCCGTGGTTTGTTCTAGAACCACACTGTGGTACCCAAACCAGCAACTACAATGCAGCGACTCAACCGAATTAAAGTCAAAATGGGCGGGCAGATGGGCTGGCATTTTTCTCTTGCGATTTATACTACACGTTATGTGCCATACTTGATTTAGAAAGCCAGCAAACACCAACACCTACTTTCCAGTTGGGCATAAAATGCGGTGCTGTGAGAACTTTCAATGGTTCTAAATGTACCTTGATGAAGAAGAAACAAAACAAAAAAAACACAACTTGTGTTTTTGGTGAAAGAATGAAAAGGCAGTCTTCCATGGGTATGTTGTGAGTTGGGGACGAACTCAGCCAAAGCGGTATGACTCCTATCTTTGGGCCTCTAGCCTGTACGATGCAATACAGTCTGCACAAATGTGCGTCGGTACAATGCACTGTCCACGTCGAAACAAGTGGGAGTGAAAACTGAACTTGCACTACCTCAGACTACCGTAATATCGTGAGTGGCCGCCCACTTAAAATTGAAAGCAACTAAGGTGAAAATACAGATTTTGCTAACTTTCGTTGTGTTATAAAGAAAAGGTGGAAAAGAGCTAGTTTTAGATATTGTGGCTCGTGAAACTTGTGATTGCAGCTAGGGGCGATGAAGCAAAGATGACTGTCCTTCCAAGTCGGCAGTGTTCGCTTGTCTGTCGTCATAGGTATGTAACACCTTTTCCACCAAGGTCACCATTGACCAGGGTCTTAAAGTTATGAAAAATAACCTATCTTTCGGTGTTTTTGAAAAAAAAAAAAAAAATGGAAATCATGTTGGAGATAGGGGGAAGGGGAGGGGGGGGAAGGGGTTATCTTTCAAGGGCGGGGCATCTGTCACAGTGATGGAAGTGCTGCGCCAATTGCGCCAAGGACGCAATCCTGCTACATGTAGCGCCAAATTGTCATTTTACCGAAGAATTGCGCCATGCCTGCGCCGAAATGAGATGTAGCAATCAAAAATAAAAATTGAAGTCTTATCAGAGCGCGTTGCGGTACCGCGGTATTTTCCGGGCTGTAACTGTTACGCAAACCGAAACTGCGAGGGCGCATTATCATCATCGTCATTGAAAGGAACAACGTTAGCAACATCTGAGACCAAAGCCGTAGAGGCTAAGCGAAGAAACATCCGACTGAGCAGCCTAGTTAAAAAAAAAAGAAAAAAAAAAAGGCCGAGCTTGTGGATGTTTTCAATGTTGGCCCCCCCTGTTCCCGTGCGCTAGCTACCAGGGCAGTCAAAGCTAGCGCGGGGGGATCGGTGGCCGAGTGGTCTAGCGCTCACCAGCTCGGAGCACGTGGAGCGAAAGCTCGCGCTGCAGAACCCAGGGATCCTGGGTTCGAGCCCCACCCCTGCCCGCTTCGATCTGGATGAGCATCGTACCGGCGTGCGGTCGTGTATCACTGCTGTGTGATGCACGTTAAAGACCCCAGGCTAGCGGTTGTACCGCACTGGCTAAATTTCTCATCTACAGCTGGGAGACTCGTCGCCCCTGTGAGGCAGACCAAGTTCTAGGCTGTATAAACACACACACAACCCAATTTTTTTTTTTTTCAAAGCTAGCGCGAGCCCAATGCTCTGTGCATTCCTGACTCGCGCGTGGGCTCGTGCAGTGTGGGCACCGTTACGGGCTCCATGCGCGCGCTTGTAGCTTCGGCTGCGCTCGCACCGAAGCTGAAACGAAGTATAGTTGAGTTGCACCAAACTCTGGATGTAGTGCTGGTAAAGCCTCACCGTGTTTTCGGAGCACAAAGCTCTGCGCGACTCGCGCGGCTGCGGTGTCTGCTCCGCGGGTGTCGGTTCTCTGCAGCGCGTCGGTGCATGCCTAGGAGCGCACTCAACGGGTTAACTCGCCGTGATCCGATCGTGACTTCGCCAGCACATCGAAAATGAATCGTAATTTTTGAAGCGAATATCAGATACCGCGTTATTTGAAGCTGCTGCCAGAAAGACAACTCTAATCTGAACTAAAACATTCCACAACAATAAGGGTCGTTAGATGCTGCTGCAGATACCTTAAAGGAAGTGCAGGCTTATAAAACTAAATATCCTGTACCATCAGAACTCAGTCTGACATATTTAATTGTATTTTTTATCTTACAAGCAGATAAACTTTATTTTAAAAAACATTTTGTGTGTTTACTTTGTTGATATATATCCTGTCTTAAAAGGCGACAGGCGCTGTGTTCCAATAATAAAGATGGGCTTTATATAGCAATGCAGCATTATTTCATTTTCAAGTAATATGCCAACATATGCCGGACCCTGCTCCAAAGGGGCCACTTCCTGCTCCAAAACAACATTTTGCCTGCTACAAGGCCTGCTCCAAAAGGTCAAATGGCACTTCCATCACTGCTGTCAGGATGTTGTGGTATGTAGCACGAGCTCTTCTTTCACATATGCTGTCAAACCGTGACAAGTTAACACACTCAACCGAGGAAAGTGTGACAGAATGTCACGGAAACTGTTAGGAATGTGTAACATGTGCTTCAAAAACAATCTAAAAAAAAAAGAGTACAAAACATACTTGAGAAGAATTAGTAAACTGAGAACAGAGCACAAAATTCTTAACGCTACGTGACGGGAATGGAACCCACGACCACATGCTCGTGAGCCCGACACCCTACTTCGACGCCAAACGAGAGACTCGCCAACGCAGATGCCGAGTAGAGAGTAGCGAATGGGGACAAAGACGGCTCGCTTTGCGTCTGGACACTAACCATTCCAACTAGAGCTCCGTGCTCCGGTGTCCCTGCATGCTCTCACCTACTCTTCATCCTTAGTTTCTAGCTGCACAACCCAAAACAAAATAAAAAAAACTGCAAAGTTTGTACAAGTTTTTAAGAACGCTATGAGGACACATTTTGTGTTGTTTCTTTTTTCTCAAAATGCTAAAAGGTAACGGCACAGCAATTCGAACAGGAACTGGGACTGACCGACCATGTCTAATGCCATGGAGAGGCGCCCCAGCAGAAGAGTGCCGGAGGAAGGTGCCGCCTGGTCCAGTTCGAAGGCGTACACGTCGCCGGCCCGGTCAGCGACAACCGCCGTGTTGCGGGTGGTGCACATCCGCACTTGAACACACTTGCGGGCCAGGATCCTGCAAAAGTGCACGGCCAGCTCAACCTGGAGGGGCGGTTCGAATGGGAACGTGGCACTAAACGGAGCTGATGCCCACCAGATGGAGCAAGTACCACCCACTTGCAATGGATGCTATCTGGCTATAATCTAGGTCAAAAGTGCAGGACAAGCTCCTCCCACAAAGCCCTCCACTCTTTCCACCTCACCAGAGTGAATACTGGAGAGGAGATGAGTCTACCGTATATGCTCACAGTGGAAAGAGGGGGGGGCTTTGTGGGAGGAGATTGTCCTACCCTTTTGACCCGTCATCAACTATACACCTTCCCAAGAAACACTCTACCCCAGAGGCAAGAAACCGTTTTCGAGCCCAGTCAGTGGGTTTGAGGCTAGACTCTCGCTAGCATCCCTACTAACCCTAACCGAGTGGACTGTGATTTCGATAGGCGCAGCCTGCGTAGGTGCAGTTTCAAACATTGCTGGCGGCTAAATCTCATCTTTCCTTGTTCCATTTCGTGTTTCTCGGTGTATGTATTTTCCCGAGGACATTGAGAAAGCATTGTACTACATTAAAGGGCAACTCCGCTTAATTTAAAAAATTTTGAGATAGTGGCCGATTTTGCTTTTTGAAGCACTCAAAAACAATCCCCAATCCTTTGTTTCGCGAAAAATAAAATATTTTTCGTGTAATTTTACTCTAGCCATGATCACAAACCGAAACGGTGGCAAAGCCGGACAACATTGTATATTCGGCATCACTAAGCATGTACACCCACGTGATATACAAGGGGAAGAAGGAGCTCCCCTCTTATCAGGATCCTCCTTTGTGCCTCCCGGATTAGCACAGGCGTCGCTGTTCTCCTCCCAGAAGATTGTAGAAGATTAACCCGTCATTCAAAATTCTTACAAAAGCAGCTTCCCTCTCCTCCTTTTACTTGGGTGTTCAAAAGTATGCGATTTGACGTCAGTGCAAGGAGCCTATACGCACTGAACACACAAGCCGCGCTCAATGAGGCGATGGGCCTATCAGTAGTATCAATAGTCGAGCGCCGGGCCGGCCGAGCGCGTCACTCATGTCTCTGACGGCACTGGCGCCACCCGTGCTCTCCCCGGGAAAGAAAACAAGTGAAAAAAAAAAGAAGTGAAAAAAACAAGTGAAAAAAAAAGAAAAAAAATGCTTGATGACGTCACGGACGTGCCGGGAGAAGGAATTTCGAGGAAGCGGAAATGCAGCCGGGCAGTGTTGTCTGGCCCGCACGTCTCATCCAAAACCAGCGGTTTCGTGCTTGTCAAACTTTGACAGCGATTTTAATGAACTTCTAGGCGGAATTCCGTCGTAATATTTGCCATGGGGTTTTTGTAGATGATAACAAAGAGAACTGTATAGTTTTGCACTACTAAAAAAGAAGCGGAGTTGCCATTAAAAAAAAAAAAAAAGCAAAAAAAAAAATCTGTAAACAATTCTTGTTGTGCGACAAAACGAATTAAAGTAAAACGTTAATTTTTTTTTTTTTTTTACAATAAGTTTTGACGGCACCGCCTGATTTAAGACTCATTCACACAGGCCGGTTTTCTTACGTTATGTTACGACTACTAATTCAAGCGTGACTACTAATTCAAGGAGATAGCCTGGCACAAGACATTTGCCAAACAAATGTTTCATTGACTTAGACGTAACGTAAAAAACGGTGCAGTGTGAAAAGTTGAACCGAGTTCAACTCCTTACGTTACGACGACGACGAGCCTTGTGTCCTTGGTTGCCACGGTAACACACAGTCGTAGCTCGTCGTCGCTCAAACATTCGTGTCTCTAATGTTGCGTGCCAGGCTATCTCCTTAAATTGATAGCCACGCTTAATACGAAGCACAGATTTCTCGGTGACTTTTCGTAACGTAACGTAAGAAAACGGGTCTGTGTGAAACAGCCTTAAGTCACGTGTCAAACGACAAAGCACTTAGCAGTCGAAAATAATTTACAACAGAAGATAGCCGAAAGGCCATGCATTTTTCACGTTCACAAATAATGTGTTTACCAATGGACAGGACGCAAACATACAATTTAGCGAGTGTTAACATTCAAACAATATATTGTATGTACTCCACAATGGGGCGTTATTTGAAAATAATTAATTAGAGAACAATCCCAAATAACACAGTCGCAGTCGACGACAGTCATATCTTGATCGGACGGAATCCAAGATGACTTTGTTTTGGGGCACGTTTTGGGGAGAGCTTCCTTTTTTCACACCAGCACCAAGGCAAAGGAACGAACGCGACTGACCCGTTTCCCACCCCAACCCGAACAACTATTTTTGGAGATGACTGAGAAGGACTCTACGCAGACTATCTCTGGGAGATAAGAGAACAGTTGTCATTGTTTGCAAAATCGGATCGAGGGCCATTCGACGTCCTTCCTCTCCATTTGTTTCCCATGAATGTCGAGCAGAAATGCTTGAATGGCAGGCACATACCAGCCCTATTTCTCAAAGTGGAAGATAATACAAAAAGGGTGTGTAGCATGCATAACAAAAATTAAGTGGAAACTTACAAGAGGGGCCAGAAATTGTTCAATACAAAACCACAAAACATAGGTAGAGAATCGCGTTCAGCGGGTTTTCAGAGTCCAAAAGAAAGGCAGACAATTTCTAGCTGATAAAGAGCGCGAGAGTCGCACCAGCCGCATTAGCACCAGCAATGTGGCGGCAGCCTAGGAGCACTTGTCTGCATAAGTAAGAGATCCCTTGCAGATTTTAATTTAGGGTCCCTCCAACTGCCTCTGATCAGATCTGGTAAGCGGTCCTTACGGAGCAGACGAAAGCCGCAGACATTGTAAAGTGATTGCGTGTGAGTATAATGGGTTCGAAAGGCATCGGATGTTTTACAACAGGTACGCCACATTCCTGCAGCTCTGAATGAAAGAACTTGATTTTTCGTGGCAATGTGTGGACAATCGCCGAAGGTGTACGATACTGGTAAAAAGTGCAAGGTGAAATAATAACAGTTGGTAAGCATGAAATATATAAACCACGAGTGATTTTCCACTGGTCTGCTGGTATAGTACAATAACTTACCTCTGGCAGAAGAGATCCCATTTGCCAGCGTCACTTCTCTTCCACGCAAGAAGCTCTTTCTTTGCAGAAACTGCCAGGAAGTAACTCGAGCACGAAGAGAAGTTGCCGCAAGAGAACCCTTGGTCCGTCTGCTCTTTCGCTGGACTCTCTTCGTCTGCGTCCTCTTCGCTACAAAAAAATATCAAAACAATGCTATGACTAGCCGATACGAGGCAGCACACTGACCTACGTTAACACTAGCAAGTTCATCGCCTTAATAGACACCATGTTTCTTTCAGAGCGCAGCTCTTAGGCGCCCGTTTCCAGCTTGAGCAGCGTCGGTGTAACCGTGAGGTCACGTGACCCCCCCCCCCCCCCCAGAACACGTGACCCTCAGTACCCTTCCCTCCTCCTCCTCAAGAGCTGCGCTCTAATTCGGCGTTAGAGGAAGTTGCAAACGGCTTTCACTTTTTTTTTTTTGTCTTATTTAGCTATGCAAGCTTGCGCCTGAAGTGAGCAACACCTAGCTGTCCCCACGAGTGAAATGACTTCTGAATCCAATGATACGAGATAATTCAGATGCGACCATGATAATGTGACAACTCCATCTGACGTGCACGATAATCGAACTTACCTCCTAGCAGAGGTAGCTTGCGAACTGGTGTCGGGAATTGTCAGCCGTGCCTTGACGAATCCTCTAATAATAATAAGAGGCAAACAAGTAGAAAGTGGATCAAGCCAGGGTAAGACGGGTCGCCAAATTGCAGAGCTGACTTGTTACATGGTGGGACCACTTACCCATTTGCCGTTTCGTATATGTAGACGCTATCTACACAAACCAAAGCAACTCTGTTGTTGATACTCCGGATGAAAATCATTTCAATGCAATGTTGATGTTGCGAAGGACGTCAGTCCGCTGCGGGGGATCACACGCAGAAGCACATGGAGAACGGTTGTTTTGGATTGACTGGATTAGCTTGGATTGACTGGATTAGACTAGGTATCACATCACAGATTTTATTTGATCCACCTAAGTATAATATATGGGTAGTACGTGCACATTATTCACCTAGATAATAACAACTGAAGTGATATTAAATATATGAGAACTACTAAGCTTAAATAAAAAATATGCTTTATTTTGCTACCAAATAAATACCTGAAGTCAATCCAGTCCAGAGTGCCATCCAATCCATTCTTGAGGCAAAGATGGCGACGTCCAGGCCGGGAGCGTCGCCGAGTTATTCCGGCTGCAATTTCTTGCGCCAGCGTCTCTTATTATCCACACTGAGCAGCAAACCCGTCGAGATCAAAAATATCCGTCACAAGGAAGACGAACCCGGCTTGAAAGGTAAGAAACGAGCACTCTTATTGGCTAATTTTGAGGAGCGCTCTACACGTGGTGTCGATCTGACATGTGTTTTGATTTCCGCTTTAACAGAATTCGAAGTGGACCTGCTCAAGTTACTCGAGAAGGTGACCAACGGGACCGTTGTCGAAATCAGCGAAACAGGTAACCGAGCAAATTTCGTACGTTGCCTCGACTGGGAATGTTCCGCTAGTTCGGAACACAAGTTGGTCTGTTCGTTTGTTTACAAACATACGTGATCGTTTACTTCACCGTGTGCACCTAGCGCTACACAGTTGGCACGCACCACAACTGGCACAAGCGAGCGATCACCAGTTTTTCTTAGACCTGAAAGGCTGTAATCGAAGCCACCAAACACTAAGGAGTGCCGGATGTCGTATTCGCGCTAAATGCGTTGCGCTGTTTGCCACCGTGTAAAATTACCCCCCCCCCCCCCCCCCCAAAAAAAAAAAAAAAAAAAAAAAATTTGCAGTTTTATTTTAAATAATGGGCCTCTTGGCTTATTAATTCTGGGTTCTCCGAAACGTGACTCCTCCTTACTGTTTAACATCTTTTGTCGTCAAGCGCCCGTAGTAACGGCAGCACCGATATGGTAGTGGGACGTGTTGTGCGACAATGACACCAAGCCTGGAGAATACAACATCAAAGTGATAGGGCGCTTCTTTTTTTTTTTTTTTTTTGTGGTTTGTAGGCACCTCGTTACTCTACAAACCAGGACTTCTGACTGGCGGCCGGATTGAGCATGACTGCTGCACACAGCGGTCCATCGGTTACTATCTGGAGGCGCTCGTCTGCCTGGCACCGTTCTGCAAAAAGCCCATGGATGCGCAACTTACCGGTGTCACTCACCACCATCTTGACCCATCTGTAAGTTTTTCACAAAGGAAAAACAATTGAATTGTTCTGCCCCTTTAGTTTGTTTACCTCTTCTCTTCATTTCCTTTCGAACCTTGCATAATCAGTCTTATTTCTTGTCTGTTATCACAGGTGACTTTTGTTGCCTCTTACCACATCTAAAGTCACTGGATTTTGGGAAAGTCGCACCATTGCCTTCCCTGTCTGCTAGTCGTACACTAACAGATAACCAAACTTCGCGAAAGGATTGGCTGATCGGTCTCAGTTGCCATGACAATCGTCATTTCGGTTCATTCAAAGCTTCGAAAGGGTCGTACTGAACCAGTTGCACCAAGATCGCTAGGAGCCTCATCGTACTAAAAGTGGTGCTCGCCAATATAAGAGTCCTTGGCGCTGTGCATGCAACTTACTTATCAGTCATACTTATCTCCATGGATCTCTTACAATGATATTGTTCTTGCTTATTTCAGGACACAAAAATTATTTTTCGGTACTGCCAAGCACCAACACCACATGCGGTGGCAGTGCGAAGATGTGCGCTTGTTTCCCTGGTGTGTGGATTACAAATTCTCTGTAACCAAGAAATGTTTTTACAAAGTAACCCGTCATCGGAATTTCGATCAGGTCACTGAGAATGGAGGTCAAGGAGAAGCTGCTCGTTTCATGAACGAAAATTGCGACCATATGGGGAGCTTGCCGCTACTTTCCTAGGATCCAGCGACTTTAACCTCAGCCACATTTCAACGCGTGTTTCAGAAAAGTAACTGCGGGCTTATATGCGAAGGGTTGGGGCAGGGGACAACGTTTTGCATGTCCCGTTTTGGTCTATCGTTCACATTTTCGTGTGGTCTCACAATACCTAACGACATTTTTAACTACCTACAAGTGTACATTGTGGAGATTTTCGAGCTAAGGTAACATACAGTGAAAACTTGTAAGTCGAACCGAAAGGTTTCATCTTGTTTAATGAGTGGTCCGAATTTCCTCAGAAACTACCTATAGAGGCAGACATTACGGTTACCGATGTAGTTTAAAAAAATAGCCATAAGATGGGTAGACAGCTCCTCCCACAAAGTGCTCCACTCTTTCTACATTAGCGAGCGAACGCTCACCTAAGTTGGAAAGAGTGGAGGAGGGTATAGTTGGTATGTTTCAACAATAGTACTAAAGCAATAAAGAACATGGGGCACATTGTTTGCCTCCTTTCTGTCTACATTGTTTTTTTTTGCACTTCTACACTGTTGACGAAATCGCGGTTTTGTGCACCGTTAAAAACGACGATTGCAGTATCGTTTGGGGACAAGCGGCTGTCCTCACCGCAGTCGCGCACTTTCCCAGGTGGATGCCATCAAGCAAGCCACCCTCCCAGTCCTCGCAAAGTTCCTGAGGTCCGAGGGGCTCGAGCTCCACGTCAAGGCCCGGGCCGTGGCTCCGAACGGCGGTGGGAGGGTCCGGTTCCGCGCGCCGCTCTGCCGGTCGCTGCGACCGGCAAAGCTCCTCAACCCCGGCAAAGTAAAGCGGATCCGCGGATGGGCGTTTGCGGTCCGCGTGTCTCCGCTCGTCGCCAGCCGCCTTGTGCAAGCCGCCAAAGGGGTGCTGCTCAAGTGCCTGCCCGACGTGTACATCTACACGGATCACGCGGGCGGCGGCGGCCAGAACCCCCGGTCGCCCGGGTTCGGGATCTGTCTCGTCGCAGAAACGACGGAGGGCACCTTCTTCTGCGCGGAGGCGCTGTCGCGACCCGACGGCGAGGAGGGCGCTGCACCGAGCGTTCCGGAGGACGTGGGGGAGGAAGCGGCCTACGCCCTGCTGCGTGAAGTCTATAGGGTCAGTGGTCCGCCGATGCAACCTGTCCGCTCGACGGGGGCACTACGACAAAAAGCTAGCGTCACGGTGCCTGGAACGAGTCTTTGACTGGTGCGTTAGGTCACAGAAGTTGTAGCGATAGAAACGCACGAACGTGAGTGTCGCGGTTACTGCGGCATCCCAGCTCGTGATTGCCGAAGCCTTCAGGAACTGTGAAGCTGGAGGGCGACCTGCAACAGAATGGTCATCTGCCTGCCGTCCCTGTGTGGACTGCGCAGCAACAGCATGACACAAGTGCAACGCCATTGGGAGGAAATCTAGACATTTTAAACGCACCAGTCCGAGACGTGCACCGGGCGCCATGGTAGCCCTAATGTAAAGCTCTCTTCTCAAAACGTTTCCCTTACTGGTTTTGGTTTCCATTTTACGTCGTGCTAGCTCGGCCTTACAAGTTGCTCTTTACAAGCTGTTTCTTCTTCCAGGGTGGCTGCGTGGACTCAACCAATCAGGGACTGGCGGCCCTGTGCATGTGCCTCTGCCCTCCCGACGTGTCCAAGTGTCTGGTGGGGCCTCTCACGCCGTACACGTGAGTAGCCTCGCCAGTTGGTTGCCACCAACGCAGGGGGCACCCTATGAATAGACATTTTCTGTTCACTTGGAGGGATGGTAGAGTTCAAAGATGTCAATGAATGAGACTTTGTGATGCATCTGGTCTTGTAACAATTTCATTTCGTTACCCAGAAATCGTTCGGAACAGACATCACTACATAACTTTATTCATGTTCAAAAAAATTGTCTGCAACCCTCTACTATGTGGCTGCCCGCACCGTTCAAGCAGCTCGTGCTCTCTCCCGGCTGTGCGCCGACACACCTCGGTGGCTGTTCAAACATTATCCCTTTTTTTTTGGAATTCATACTGGCTTGTAAGCAACTAGCTACTCTAAGGTTTCATGGAGTTCTCGTGCAAGTGCCAATATACTGAAACTATGATGCACTACCCTTCAGTAATTACTCTCAAAACCCATCGCATGCTCACAATTCAGTCCGGCCCACCACCAACACTGGAGTCACCGTCAGGATCAGAACGGAAGGGTGGGCTTCCTTCAGATGCCCACCCTCCGGAATGCGCTCGTTGCCTTCTATAGTGCTTTGGCTGTGCTTGCATGCTCCAGGTGCACGAGACGCCAAAGCATCGTGGAAGGCAGAAAGTTTGTGCTGGATGCGGGACAACTGAAGGGCCTTCCTATTGTTGTCATCCTGACGGCTGCTTCATAATTTCATGAAATACAGAAACAAGGACCATTATCGTACCGAAATCATACCTTGCTACCAAATACAATATAGCTTCGCCATAACTGGTGTCTCCCCCTCAAACCTGCGGGAGTGGCGTCGAACAACGACAGTGGCACTTCTAGCAGACTCGAGTTTTTGAAAGCAGACGACGCAGTGGAAAAACCTGGGCTCCGCGACGTTCTGGACGTTTGTCAACCCCATTTAGCTGTCCCAAGAGCTGAAACAATTATATTCGGTGTATTTGCACAGTGATATCCATTGATTGCAGCTGCAATGGCAATCAAATTGTAGCGCACACGGAAACAAACATTTATTTATTTATTATGTCGGCTGAACGCCGTTCAGAGTATTATGCATGACTGCCTCTCGTCTGAAAACCGGAAAGAAGGCTTTATCCATCGCAACTATGTTCTCAAAACTTACTTTTGGTGCGAGAGATGCAACGTGATAACCTTGTCCTGTTGCCTTCTCGGAATAGGCGATCACAAAAAGATGCCCGAACTTCAAAGTCAGCGCGCCGGTCGGCTTAGTGGATATGGCCAGAAAGCCCACTGGCTAGCCAAAGTTGACCAGCAGCGGATGTGCCCATAAACAAACATGCACACAATTACAACATAACAAAAGCGTTAGAAAAGAATGACCATACAAGTGCTTTACAAACATTGCAGCAGTAAGAATAAAGTGCAACTGAAACCAGAAGAGGCATTTTGGGGGTTAGCTCTAAAACCAAAATAAAAAACAAATTTGCAGACGGTACAAATGCCTCGGCGTTCTTCGATTCGCAATCAAGGGTATCGTGTACCATAGCAGACGACTGATGTTTGTAGGCAACGAAATGGCCGAGAAAGATTCGGAAACATACAAAACAAAGCAGTAATAAAAATAAATGGCCCGATTGCTCTAACCGCTGTCAAACTCAGTTTTACATTCATTTCGGTAATGACCTCAAATCTTGTATGCACAATCGTCTCAACGCAGCATATTGATATCGTGGGAGTGAATATAGTATTGAAGATAGGTTTTCTGCTGCCTTTTATTTTTATAGTTGGCGATGGTGTCGGCAGCAGGATTAGCCAAATTGTCGTTTCAACAAGACCAGTAAGAACAAGACATTCATGAAAATGGTAATGTGAACAGCAAACGAAAGATGTATTAATTGACTGGAACATCAGAGTTGAGTCGTAGCCAAGTTTTGAGAGTTTCAGATGTTAAAGTATTTCAAAAGACAGTGCAAAGATAGATTCGTGATTTCGCATGCCTTACATAAACTGTGACATCAGAATGTTTTCTTGGCAAAAAAAAAAAAAAAAAAAGACCAAACTGCACTTTAAAAGCCAAGAAAAAAATTTCACAGAGGGGACAGATCCTTCCCTCGGGAAATGGCAACAGATTTTAAAAATCAAAGCAAAAAAAAAACAAAAAACGTCACAATGCTTTTTTGTTGATTCCCTCGTGCGGAGATGGACAAAGCCTATGTATTCCGAGGAGTTTGTCTGCTACCAGAGACTCCAGGCTTGCCAGGGGCATTTGCGATCCGTTTCCGCCCGCGCAATGCGGGAGCTTCCAGTATTGGTCTCCAAGGTGTTTGTTGCTACTCTTCGGTAATTACTCTCGAAACCCATCGCACGGTTCTACTCTGGTCCGGCCCGTAGCCAAGACTAATTAGCGGCGCATGGAACGAAGCGTGCCCCACGTGGTGGAATGTCTCCCCCAACGGTGTTTTTAGCGTCCCCTTCCACCCAAGCATCAACAGTGGTCTTGAAGTTGTAACAAATGACGCCGCAAAAGCCTGAGTGTCACGCTGTCAAATAACAAATAAGCGTAGAAATTTCGGGAAAAAAAAAAAAAAAGCAAGAGAAAATGCGGGCGTTGCCGTCGTAGCGGCGTCCCTGCTCTTGACTGCCGAATCTGCCGTGGGCTGTCAAGCCGGAGAGCAACCTGCAGCAGAACGGGCGTCCACAGAAGTTTGTCTGCTTCTTTTTGCAGGGGTTGTGGTGACGTGAGAATGCCGAGCTCCGTTCGGCTCCAACCACAAGGATAGTGGGTAGACCTCGAGGCAGCTTGCTTCAAGGTATTGACCTTTATCGCAAGGGCACCGCCATCCTGAATTGTCGTCACCTCCAGTATGGGCGAAAAGATTGTTTTGCCGTCGCCACGGCGATAGAAGGCATTTAGGACATAAATGTAATGGTCACACATTCTCGTTTTGCCTCCCCTCTATTTTTTTACTACTTGCAGGTTGAAACGTTTTTATATTTTTTCGTCGCCCATACCGGATATGCCTACTTGACGGTCGGGGGCCAGAATAAGCGGAAAAGGTCTATACCCACTAGCCACTATCCTACAATCAGAGCCAATCAGGGCTCGGCGTTTCGAAGTCACCACAACCGCCGCAAAAGAAGCAGACGAGCAGACTTTTGAGGACGGAGTGAACACATCGGTCGGAGCCGCGTTGCGGGCAGCGACTTAAACCGGCGTCGTGTCTCGCAGGATCCAGCTCCTCCGCCACCTCCACCACTTCCTCGGCGCTACGTTCAGGGTGGACGAAGAAAGACGGCAGGGCGACTCTGCGGAGGGCTGCTCCAAGGTGCGGCTGACGTGCGTCGGCGTGGGCTTTGCCAACCTGGCCAAGAGCGTGTCCTGACGAGTCGACGACGTCGTGTGGCAATAAACAAGCGTGCTCTTTATTCCGTTCTTGAGAGTAATAAAAAGGGGGGGGAGGGGGTCCGAGGCTATGGTACAGGGGGCGGTTTTCTTTTTTTTTTGGGCGTCGTCACTCAGCGTTCTTCTACGGTCAGCGTTTCCTTGGGGTAGAGCTGGAGCTGTTCGAGGGTCTTGCACGTCTCCATTGCGGACAGCTGCGTGCAAGAGAGGAAGACGTCTTGCTGAACTCTGCATTCGACGACTTTTACGGCGACGGCCGTTGTCGCCGGGGTTTTGCGGTGACTCTAGTCCGTGTACGATTTTGCAGTGCAGTCCGCTAGATTTGATGTCGACGCGCAGCGAGTTGGCCTCGCTAATTTTGGCGGAGAAATTTTCCCACTTAATTTAGCCGACGTCAAGTGACGCAGGAGTCTTTACACCTCTGCCAAATTTTGAATGGTGGTGGAGCATGGTTGTGTGTAGGCTGTGAGCAGCATTGCACAACGCCTCAGTAAACACGCAATACACTTTTTTTTTTTCTTTTTTTTTCGCGGGGGCGGGATGTTTTTGGATTAGGAAGAAACGTGCTTCCAATTCGTCCTAATGTCAATTCAGAGACACTCCTCAGGCAACATAGACCTTAGAAACTAACTCGAGAGTTACCTAATAGTGTGACCTGTGTACACTTTTCCATCAATCACCTTTGGCACACTGCCATCTTTGTCTCCTGGGCTGTGAAACGCCTTCCGACAGTGTGCAGCGGCTCTCGTCTGCAAAGTATCGGACGGTGCGCTTGTGTCTGCAGCCCAGTGAATCTGCACTCTTCGCCCGGGTAATAAGAGCCAGAAAGATCTATGCAGACAAAAGTTGCAGAGCCCTTCCACCTTACATGAAGATGGAGGACCAGCAAAGCTGTTATCTTCACTACGCCTAGGAAGATGCCTAGAGAACAATGTGTACGACGACTTCTAGGATGACCTTAAGGTCAACGCCTAGAGGACGTCGTCTAGGGCTATGCCTAAAGGACGCCTAGCATGACCTCTCGGACAACCTCAAGGACGCCCTCGAGGACGATGCCTAGAGATGATAACAAGAGATCTAATAATGCCAAGGAAGGCTGACTCATCCTGGCTGCCCCCTTTTTTTTTATTTTTATTCATACTTGCCAGGACCAATGGGGAGTTTTCTGTCAACGTCTGCGGACGCACTTTATCCCATATCCTAGCGCAAATTGCTACGCAATTCTGTTGCATAAGTGAAATGCTCTGGCATTACAAACATTTAGCAATACTCAAGGTGCACTACACCCGATTTAACGCATACTATACTATGTGTACACTTGATAGTGTTCTCCGAGTTTTACGTATGCGTGACAGAATTTGCTATCTGCATTTGTCTAAGCAGCTGCACCTTGTGGCTCCACCGATAAGCAATCGATGTCATGCCATATAAATTGAGTGCGTGAAGGGTATGAGGGCCGTGAAAGCCATGAGTGCATGAGGGCGGTGAGATCCATGAGTGCGTAAGGCGAGTGAGGTTCAGTGATGGTGTGATGGTGAAAAAAACATTTGTATGTACATGCTGTCCTCTTTTGCTGCTGTGGAGAGGCAGAGGCTCGTCAAGCAACAACTGAGTTGCTTTTTTCTCCGTCTCCCCGTTCCAAACGGAGAGAAATAAAGAGTTTGAGTTTGAGTGAGGGGCTTAGGATGAGTGCAGCTGTGACGGTGTGGGTGAGTGAGAGGTTGAGTGTGAGTGAGGGGCTTAGGTGAGTGTGGCTGTGAGGGTGAGTGAGGGCAACCTCTGCATGTGACGCAAAAACAGTATGCGTACATGGGATGTGTTTACGTAGCCTTCGGGATTTGCAGTACACGCTGCAGCTTTTTTCTTTCTTTGGTTATAAACTTTTTTTATTCCAAGCTCTGTCCTTTTCTATGTGATGGAAGGCACGTCTTGGGTTTCCTTTTTTTTTCTTCCAATAAACTGGTTGAATGCCGGCAACCGGCGATCATATTGGAACATGTAGTAAAGACCACCGTGCTAAAGACAACTAGCCTGACAGCTACCCACTAATTGGTACAGTGATAGAATGTCGAGCTTGCGATCGTAGGGTTGTGGGTTTGTTAACTGTTGGGGCGCACTTGCAATTTCGCCTTTTTCTTTTCAATATACTGCACTTGTACATAATGTCCTGTGAGGTATATGTTACACTTTTCGTAGCGGTCTAAAAACACTCAAATCTCAAGCAGCTGGATTGAAAGTATACCAGAAACTTTGAGGGTGATTTTCTCAGCTTTGCCTTTTTTTTGTAAAGTCCCACGGGCTTACTGGGGTTCTGACAACGTTGTCCCGATGATATTTCAGAGAACTTGGTATCCTTGTTTTCTTCAATGACTGAACTGCATCTTAAAGCTTTACTTTTTGCCCTATACTCAATAGGTAACATGTAATTAGCATCAACTTGGGTACTTATCATCCTATTTATTTTATTTTTACAACTGTGATTTATTTATATAATAAATAACACTACCTTATAAACAATCAGCTTTAGGATGTACAATGGACCCTTGGGAGTCCCTATATATAGTTAGGAGGAAAGATTCTTAATTAACAGTTACCCTGACGAGCCGTAATAAATTACCCAATCAGGATAGTATACAGGGTCGTCGAAATAAATCCGGGAAATTCATCATATTCGGGAAAACACACAGAGACAATAACAAAAATCAAGATCGACCATTCATTTTCCGTGCTTTGCTAGGTTTGCCATAACGTCTTCCTGGCTGACATTATCTGAACGTCTTTAGAATCGATGCTTGGGCGAGTTGAATATTCATACTGTAGGAGAAGCGCTAAAGTAGATTCACTCACCCTCAAACTCACACTCACACCAGAAAAAGCTTCACAGGACAAGTATCTAGGATAGTAAGTGCGGGATATCCTTCACATATATTAACTTCAGTCGCCGAAAGTCTCCTTAAACAGATTAAAAAAGGTCAAATCACATCCCGCAAGCCACGCGAAAGATTCAGTAACCAGAGGCCTGTAGTCATCCCCTACATTCATAACATTTCTCATAACCTGAAGAAGATTGGGAATCGCGCAAATATCAATGTAGTCTTTTCCGCCCCCATCAAACTATCAGGCCTATGAAAAAAAGTTAACGCCACACCAAACACTAATACCGTCTGCACTAAAAGGCATAGAACCCCATACATACCTTGCTCAGAAGGAGTGATTTATTGCTTTCCCCTATCATGCGGCAAACAGTACATAGGACAAACTGGAAGATGTATTAACGACAGATTAAGGGAACACAACAACAACACCCGATTAGCAAACTCAGGACTTTTGGGCATTCACTGCCGTGACTGTGGGTGCGCCGTGGACTTCAAAAATAGCACCATAATCGGAAAGAACCATCATCAGTTAACACGTGAGATAATAGAGGCAGCTCACATCATAAAAAGAAGTGACACCTGTGTTAGTAGTCCATCCATAACGCTAATGGAAAAAGAATTGTTTTATCTTGATTCTCGAAGGTAATGTGCGATAGACATTGCTAATTGTTTTGTACAGAAGAGAACGAAGTGAGATGACAAATTTAACACGGGTAAAAGAAAAACGAAAGAAGACGAAAATACAATTTGAGTTGAAAGTCAGCGCGACGTGAGTGACCGTTTTTCTGATGTGAGTGTGAGTGAATCTACTTTAGCGCTTCTCCTACAGTATCTGAACGTCATTCATCTTGACTACCCTGCATATTCTGCCGTATCATCCGTTTGAGCCAAGATGTTTTAGATATGAGGGATTTAAAATCAGCCTTAAGAGATACATTTGAGCACTATATTCGAGTAAACAAAAAATCAACTATTTAAGAACCCCCGTCCGCCCTCCTTCAAAAATAGTCGATCGTTCAGCGGGATCGGAAGAAACGGGGGGTGCCCACTCACGTCTCTGCGCGGCCAGCTGGCCAGGACCTTGTACTCCTCGACGGGGAAGCCCCTGGAGGCGAGGAAGGTGAGCAGGGAGCTGAGCGGGCAGGAGGCCAGGAAGCGTCGGCTGAGCACCTCCCCGGACGGAAGGCGCACCCGGATGTGGCTCACCCGGTCCTCGTCCTCCGCCGGTTCTTCGGGCACCAGCTGTGCCAGCGATTGCTGCAGGGCCTGGGAAGGTAAAAAGACGCCACGTCGGAAATCCAGCATATAAAGGAACACCGAGGGTTCGATTTTCGTCGCTGTAGTTCGTCTGCTACGGAGTGTCGTTCGCAAATGGAAATAATGCGGCGAGCAAGTCGTCTGTTTCTTGCACAGGAGTTGCGATGGAGGTAGCGGAGGAGCTGGATCCTGCAAGACGTGCCCCCGGCTCGACTCGGTGCCTGCAACACGTCTCCGATCTGTGTGTTCACTCCGCCCTCAAAAATGGTTAATGCGGGGTGCAAGCTCATCCACTTCTTTTGCGGTGGTTGTGGTGACGTCAGAATGCAGAGCTCTGATTGGCTTTGATTGGAAGGATGGTGGGTAGACCTCGGTGTTAGATGCCTTGAGGTCTACCCACTATTTTTTTCAATCGGCCAATAAGAGCTCGGCCTTCAGACATCATTGCAACCACTGTGCAAGAAGCGGACGAACTTGCACTCCGCATACGAGAAGATGGCGCACAACGAGCACCGCAACAAAGAAAGATTGGATGCAGGCTCAAACTGCAATCGTCTGCTACGTTGCGTCGAAAGCCATTGACAACCCGCACTTCGTCTGCGAATCTAGAGTTCTGCTGGCGTAGAAAAGCCGACGTCGACCGGTGAACGAAGGAAGGAGCACTAAGGACGTGGACACCAGAGGTTGCAAGACCTCTCTTGCTAGTAGTACATCGGCGAGGCGCCCTCCCCAAATTGAGAGGTCCTCCAAGCCGTACTGGTCGAATTCTCGTCGACGCGGTTATTTTCTTGCCCCACGGATTCATGAAATAGAGGAGAAAGTGATTGTTACCAGTGGCACCACCCCGACAGCAAAGCGAACGGAAGCTCGAGTGCATCATGCATGCGACGCGCAACTTTTTCTCCCTCGGACTACGTGGCACGAGAGAAGGTCTGCTTCAAAAGCAGCCAGTGCCCGAGAGGGAGGGAGTGACGCTTCGATTGCAGAGTTTGATTCGCTCGTCCCGTCTGGTTCTAGCAGTTCCCACTCATTTTCGCGTGTTCTTTTGAGACGAGATAGTCCCCTTCAAATTCCGGGAAAGTATTGGGGAATATGTGGAGCCACCTAGAAAACCAAAAAAAAACAAAACACCAGCTTTCTTTCGGAAATCTTGAAACTGTCTCCCACCTCCTTCATCTGCTCCTGGTGCCTGAGCTCTTCCCGGTGAAGCTGCTTCTGCACCTCCTCTGCCGTTTCCCTGCGTAGCTGCTCTTCCTGCTCCATTTTCCTGATTTCCTCCTGTAGGCAGAAGTCGTCGTGCAATGACAAAGCAGAACGCAGCTCTTTGAAGTCACCACGTCTCTCTATATGTACACAAACACATTACAAGTTCTCTTTCAGCTGCAAAGGAGCTCGAAAAGCCGAGGCCTCTTTTTCGAGGAGTACTTGAAAGAGTATGTTTGTGAGCCACAACTTTGTGTCTTTCATACAAAGTTGTGGCTCACTTTCTGATACAAATGTTTCAAGTCCCTCTTTAGCAAACATAAATGAATTCCCATACTCAAGTTAACAGAGTGCAAAAATCTACTCTATAAGATATAAGTACAGACTGAAAATATTGACCCTACTCAAGATACTCTCCCCACAGCTAATATACACGCTGCTTAATTAAAGGCTGTAGAGCAGCCAGAATGAAGAAAACTCTCAACTCCTTTCCATTCCAGAAAGGAAGAGACCCTCCTGCTTCTTTCTGTGAGGAGGGTTTCTGGGGAGTAGCTTAGAGACCGATTTCTGTGGAGAGGAGGACTGAAGAATGAGAGAAGGAAACAGGGAACCGGTTTTCTGCCCCACAGAAGACGATTCTGTAGGTCGGCTTTTAAGGGGTGCTGAAACGAAAATTGAAATCTACCTCTCATGTTCAGAAACAAGTTAAATGTGATCAACAAGAGCTGCCAATTACAATCGCGCGTTTGTATTTTGAACGGATGGCTACATTTTTCGTTCCGAACGGCCGATTTCGACGAGCGCGATGCACGTCGGGAAATCCCGCACCTCCAGAGCTTTCGTGACGCCACATTTAACTTCACGGGCAAGGCTATGGCAAGGCTGGCGTGGTTGGGAGCTTCACCACTCGGTGGCATCAATCTGCTACAACTTGGCCGTTCGAAAGGCCCGCTCCCCACTGGAGTTGGATAAGTGCGGGAAAGAAGGAAATTCCAGTTTGGCCAAGTGTGACAGGCTATACGAGCGCTCAGAGCCATACTTCCTCGGAAGGCGCTGCTTTTATGGGAATCGGGGGGCTTTTAGTCCTTTTTATGAAAAGTTTGAAATAATGACATTTGGGAACGACCACCAGGTGCAATCTCGTAATCGGTTTGCTCGTTTAAAATAATGTTCTGGTGTCTTTTCTAACAAAAATTTGGTGTTTCTGCTGCGTGGCCAGAACGTGGTTGACATTTAGAGAATAAAATAAGCACCAGAATTTCCTTGCAGTATCCCTTTAATCCCCTACTAAAACAAGTATGGCTGACCAAATTATAAAAAAAGCTCGCTTTGGGGTTTATAAAAGAAAAAAGTGACCGACAGAGCTAGCAAATGAAACTGAACGTTTTCCCACAGCGGCTAAAACTACTTAAATCAAAAAATTGCTTTTTCCTAATTCGAAGAGCAGGGTCAAGTGCTTGGATCCGTTCTAGCACAATGGTTTAGAGTATGCGTCACTCAGTAGGACATTGCCACCCTTCACCTTGTCCTCCCGCCGGCTTGCTGTTCGGTGGACAGCGCGTGTGTTTGCCTCGTAAGTCATGTATGAGAAAAGAAGTTTACGGATGAGGCAACTAATAATCGCTGTTATTGCTAATATTTACGGCACAGACGAGGAGCGCAGAAGCAGTCTCGGCAAAGGCAAACACCCTAAACAAGCGGAAAGTTCACCAGGTCACCTGCACGTTCTCTGTTACTTTTATTTCTTGCTCATATTCGTCCAAATACGATACATTTCTGAACAGTAAAACATTTTTTCCCCTCGTGCTTGAAATAATTCCGTTACGCACACGTCAACTCGCGCAGTTTTTCTTCGTGCTGCTGGCGCTTCACGACCCGTGAACGTAGAACAATGAAACGAAATGAACGCCGTGTCTATTTACCTATTCCGAAATAAATCGTGGTCGGTCTCCTCAGCCTAAAAAAGGTGCTTGGCACTTAATTGGCATGTTCAAAGGGTTCGAAAAGAGTCCACGACAGTCACCAGGTACGACGCTTACACGGTAAGCGACCACATCGGTTTACGATTATCAAAACAAATGCAAAACGGTAAAAACAAGAGCACTCCGACAAATTAAGCGATTAAAATTAGAATGATTTTCCCGACAGTTTTGGCACAACATCTGCGCTTGAGAGCAGAATGGTGGAGCGAAAGTGGATCGGTGAGCAATGGCGCGGTTGGCGCAGCATTACGCCCCCATACATGGCGGGCTTCAAGTAACACCTTTTGGCGGGCTAGTTGGTTCATGATTTGTAGAAATAAATGAACTGCGCAAAGGACGAGGACAGAGGTAGAAACGAGTACGACACATGGAACAGATGGAGGGCTATCCACATTGTTGGGGCCCATATTAACGAGGCATGACTGTATACAGCAAAGCGCAGTCCCACCGTCGCGCCGTTGCCGACACGATGCACGAGCAGATGCTTCACTTCACGTGAATCTGGTTTCTGCGCAGGTACAGTGACCACTGTTGGTGTGGGCAGATGCCCGACTTGTTTGTAAACAGCGTGTAGGTCTATGCCGTACCCGCGGCCCGCGCATCTCCTCGAGCATAGACTCGGGGCGGACGGATACCCACCTTTGCCCTGTCGGCCAACAGCGAGGCCTCGTAGGCCGCGTCCTGTTCCCTCTTCACCTCTTCCCTGGCCTCTCGCTCCGCCTGCAAGCCGTGAGGGGTGAGATCGGACTCACAACCGCCTTCTGCCGAAGCGCCCTCTCGTTTACGCACCTCCTCCTGCATCTCCGTGCTCATCTCGCTGTTGAACACCTCCACCGTGTGGACCAGCCGTGTCATCAGTTCGTCCAAACCGACGTTACCTACGAAAACAACGACGGCGATCTTCAGTCGAGGTCCCGACACCACAACGAGATGCGTGGTGCATGTGCTCGACTGGTTGCGTTCGCTGTACTGTCAACCCACCCACCGATGGCTTTTTTTTTTTGTATATTGTGATTCAATTTGAATTAAGCCTACATGGCTTATGTGCCTTTACGATCTGACTACGAATATGTACTTAGCTTTGTTGTAACCTAATTATTTCTTGCTAATTTTATTTGCAAAGATTATGGGAAAGATTGCAAAGATTATGGGAAAGACAGATTGAACTACTAAAATAAAAAAAAAATGTATAGGTAAGGTGAAAGGTTTGTGGAATCTGATAAGGCACAAATGAGGGCTCTAGGATGATTCACAGTCTTTTTAAAGGTATTTTAGTTTTCAACTTTCAAAGTTATTTATTGCATGAAGCATAAAAGGCACCTAAAAAACGTTCCCCGATACCATAAATATAGGGCTCCGTGTTTTCAGAGTCTATTTTTGTCAAATTCGGAGGGTGTTTTTCGGAGTTTGTTTCTTGCCGAAAATTCAGAGTTTATCGGACTTTAATTTTGTTTGATTCCCAATTCTCTGAAATTCTAAATTTAATTTCCCGATTTCTTACTAAGAATATAATTGTATCCAAGTGCTGTACAAAAAACAAAAAAAAAAGTGATAGTATCAATTATATTTTCTTCACTTGTATTTGGTGTTGGTGCCATTACTACTAGCAATACTAGTTTGTCCTACGACAAAAGTTGTACGCAAGTGTTGCTTCGATAAATGGTGATACATTAAAATCAATAAACTCCTGGAGGTAGTCACTGGGAAGCTTGTGTTCATTCCATACTATTCCATCAACCTACTGTGCGGCTGCGCAAGGTAGAGTGGTAAAGGATGTAATAGAGAAGTCTCACCTGTCCCTCTTCCCCACTTTATGCAATCTCTATTGTATTAGCTTTCACTGTTACAAAAAACCAACCTCTCCTTCCTCTAAAGTACAGGGTTCACAAAAGAAAATTTACACGGTCTTTTTTACCGCAAAAATAAACTAGGCGTCGCCGAACGCTCATTCTCCGCTCAAAGGTAGAGCTAGAGGTCACAACCAGATGCCAAAGTTTCAGCCCCATCCGATAAGTTAATCAAAAGTTATTAGTGATTTTCTGAAAAGTTCAATGGGAAAATGGAGCCCATTTTTGCCCGTTTTCGGTTTCTGGTGCCATAGAGCCCCATGTGTTTGAAAACTCCGTCGGCTGCCATTTTCCCATTAAAATTTTCAGAAAATCACTTACAACTTTTTATTAATTTATCGGATCAGGCTGAAACTTCGGCATCTGGTTGTGACCTCTCGCGCTACCTTTGGGCGGAGAATGAGCGTTCGGCGATGCCTAGTTTATTTTTGCGGTAAAAAAGACCGTGTAAATTTTCTTTTGTGACACCCTGTACAAATAGCATGACCCAAACTGGAAATATAAACAGTGACTTTTGTCATGACCCAAAAGTACAATGACCCGTTGTCCTGACCAAAATTTGAAACATAAGTGCGGTGGCATTTTCCCTGGACCATTGACCCTATGCGCTGATCAAACCATCAATTGTAAAATAATTGTGTGTGTGTGTGCGTGCGCGTGTCTGTGTGCACGCACGTGTGTGTGTGTGTGTTTGTGTGTGTAAGGGGGGGGAGAGGACTGGCACATCAAAATTCGGAGTTTGTCGGATAAATCCAAATTCCCCAAATTTTATCGACGGGAGTTTTTCAAAGTTTTTCGTATTTATCCGAAAACATGGAACCCCTCACTGTACACTTCACACATGCACACACCAAAACAAAATTTCCATAAAGTAATTTATTTTATGCTAGCATTGCACTGAAAAATCAATTTTTTTTGCCTTCTATATTGACGACAAAATCTTAAGATCTTTTATAAAAGAACATCCACAAAGTAAAAAGACAATACTACAGTTACATTGCCCATTAAATTCCAGTTAAAAAAAACAATGAGTAAGCATTTCCTACTGTCTCAATACCAAACAGTAGTTCTTTTAAAGATATTTACGCCAAAAAGTGGAACAGAGAAAAACGCGGTCAAAGTGCCCGAAAGTCTACCTTTCCTTTAGCTTTGCAGGACTGAAAATAATTTATAAAAAAATAACTATCCAGTGTAAACAAATGAAACGTAAATATGGCATTTTTCAAATTTGACCTTCTTTCCAGAAATGGTGACAGTTCTTGGAAACAATGGTGCTTGCACCGCATGTGCCCAGTCAGCTGTATCCTGCGAGGCCAGCGATGCCCGCGTCCGTTCGTCTGCTATGCCCTACATCTTGACAGCGGCAACTAATTCGATTCAATGTGAGACTGCTGTGGCACATGTCTATTGTCTTTTTATGAACATTCTAGTGCAAGTTACTGGAACGCTAAGCACACCAACTTGAGATTTATTCCGGGATCTGACCCCACAAGTGTTTCGAGTTGAATGACCAAGAGAATCTGCTAACACGCTTGAGGATGGGATGTGAAATTTGTAGCTCGGTAACCAAACAAAGATTCAATAATTATAAATCAAAGTTCCCCGTGCTTCTGTTTGAATAATTGAGCCAGGGCAGTCCCCAAACAAGAGCAGCTAAAGACCCATACAAACCATTTCCCACCATTCCTACTTTTGAGAACTCCTTTAAAAATTAGCTAAAATTGCCCATCTCAGCCAGCGTGCTTTCATTTTTCCAACTACCGCAGCTAATACAGTAGCACCGGCGAGTATCTCAGCCAGCGTGCATGCGCGAAAAAGGCTAAAGCAGTAATATGCAAACTCAAAGGACTTCCATACCACAGTAAATCCTAACCTCCTAACCAGTGCGTCTTGAGGGGAAAGTTGGTTATAAGCAGAGTTTGTTGTAAGCAGTTTGTCGTAAGGGAAGCTTGTTACAAGTAAATTTGTTATAAGCGAAGTTAGTTATAAGGCAGGTAAGTGACATTTGTTATAGTAATCAATCTTTGTAAGAAAGTTTGTTGTAAGGGGAGTTTGTTATAAGCGAAATTCTCTATAGTGAAAAGGTGTGGCAGTGGGTATCGCACTTTGAGACTTTGAGGCACACCCGAAATGAGGCGGCCGTCGCTCACCGGGAATGAGGGTGAGCACCTCGGTGGCTGATCGAACTCTGGTGACCACCACCAGCGCCGGGAGGCAGTCCAGTGCCGTACTCTGCACCGCACTCGAGACTGCCGGACCTAGCGTGCCGCCCACTGTTGCAAGGAACCTGCACCGACCAAAACCCGAGTTTTACACACAGCTGTGTTATGGGGGCTCGGGCTCGAAAGTGACGCGCTACGCCCAACCAACACACTGGTCAAGGTCACAAAAGCGATAAAACCCCATGGGAGCTACCCTGCTTATATGACCATGATGTCGGGGTGCCATGTAACACCATGACATTGTGGTGTCATGCGACACATGGAAGTCACGGTGTTAGTGACATCACATTATGTCAGTGTCATGTGATGTCATGACGTCACGTCACATCACCTCTGGCTTCACAGTCACAGAAAGCCGTCCCCGAGTATCGAGAGAGCCTTACAACAGTCGGCTCTAGGCAGTACCATTAACAGTTTCTCAACTCTCAATAGACGAATACGGTTCCCACAACAAAACAGCTAAGCGCTGCTAACGGGTGCTTGGAGCGCGGTGGTGGCGCCAAAGGACGGCCGGCCGCACCTGAGCCTGTTTGAGTCGAGCGTGAGGTCCCAGACCCAGGTGACGAAGTTGAGTGCCAGGTAGGCCACAATGGCCTCAGAGCAGAGCAGCTGCGTGCAGAACACCTGCGTCAACACACTGTCGTCGTGGTGCAGGTAGATCGCCAGGGGCTTGCGCTGGGGGGAGACACGAGAGAGAAAGAAGACGTCGTTCGCATCAGGGGACGGCACAATGCTCAGCTCGCCTCATTCGACTGGTCACTGCAAAATTTAGTTTACCGAATAGACTCTACACTCCATGGACTACTGTTTTATGGGAACTGCAAGTCTTAAGAGGTGACTTGTTTTCATCCTTGGATGACCCTTATGTACTATGTGGGCAAATTATTTTGCTTTTACCTGCCCCTCACTTACTTTTTGTCAGGCGACTTACTAGTTCAGAAATGTCTAGGCTGTTCTGCTTTAAATCAAGACCACACTTTCTTCTCAGACACTACCGTAGCAATTGTGTGCTATAAAAAAAAAAGAAAAAGATTGTGAATATTTATTTTTTTAATTTATGTGGACACCTTTGCCTCTTCTCTTGATAAAGGGTTAACAAAACTTTTAGCCTTTCCAGTCTGGTGAAGAAGGGAGAGCAGCGGAGCTGTAATATGTGCCACCATCTATGAGCGACAGCTACAACCAGACAACCAGGAAGCCGGTTGCCTGGTTGCCGCCGCCGCTCATAGATGGCAGTAGTTGCCCAGAGGGTTGCGTCGAGATTCATTTGTCCACTGACACAAAACTGGGGAAACTAGCCCTTAACAGCACTGCTGTGATATACTTTAGCGCACCAAACTCAAAGTAAGAGTTTGGTTTTAAACGTCATAATCCGGTGCTACATTAATTTTTTTCTACATGCAAGGCTATTATTATTCTTTTTAACCGTAGGCAATGTTTTTTTTTAGGGTACATGCTTCATACATTTCTGTGTTGTATTGGCATGCAAGTGCCACGATGGTTGGGTCGACCGCTGTTTTCAGACAACAGACAACACGAAAAAAAGGGGTTTATGCTTTTGACCAAGCCAGAGCGCTCGTTACAGTGGCTTGTAAAAGTGACCGCCCGCAACGCTAGGAGGGAACGAGAGCTCACTTCTCGGCAAGGCTTGTGGCAGGAGGCCTGGAGTGCTTCGGATAACGAACCTTGGAAGAACACCGGGTGGCAGGTACCGTACCTGCATTGGGGTCGGTCCCGCAAGTTTAGCTCAAAGCTCTCCCAGATCCGGTAGGGGCGCAGGCGCTTTTCGAGAAGAACTGACCGAGTGTTTCACTGCACGTAAATAATCCACACCTTGAACGGCTGCGACGATGTACTTTAACTGTCGGTTGGAATGACAGGACACTGCTTCAGAACTGGGTGGTGTCGGCTTCAGAAGCGGAAGCTAACGTCGTCTAGAAATCACGCAGCTCATGTTAAAAACGTCCGAAAATTGCCTCCAACCTTTTAACCATATAAAATTTCAGGTCGTGCAATTTCGGCATCTTGTCCAATCTTACTAGCATCACATCTGCTACAGAATTTTTAGATAAGTAATCAGACGCAGTCAGTCGAAAGAGCAATTGACGACGTACAGAAGACCCAAAATAAAAAAGAATAAAAAGTTGACAGAGAAGCACAGAATGATTGCACCGTTTAAGAATGGGTCTGAATCCTTTCTTTGGCCCTTAATACAGTAAGCTTCAAAAGAAGCTTTAAAGGTACGAGCACTCTACAAGGGCTGTAAGACCGTTCGCCGAAAGAAAATTTATAGTGGGGTAATTGGTCACATGGGACAATTCGTCAAAGGGGAATTCGTCTTGATGACAATTCGTCACACAAATGTGCGAAATGTCACATGTTTGAAGACACAGTGAGTCGACAGGGAAGCTTGTTCATGTCACAAATTTTTAAAGACAGGAGACAACAAACGAAAAAAAAGACAAACACAAAACGTCTCGATTTTCTTTTCAAATGAGACAATTTGTTTTTTTTTGTCTGTCGTTTCCGGTTTTCAAAAATGTCTCTTATATTTATTTACTTTTTCGTAATTTATCAAGCATATTGCTTGCAAATGAATACCCATAAGCCAGGCCATTCTTTACTGGCACATTTCTGTATCCTATGTAAAAGGGCTTGCTAGAACGCTCGAGATTATATTTAACACCGTAAAAATCAGATCTACGAGATATGTGAGCTCTGTGCCAGGACGGAAAGGGGTAAGATTTCTTTTTTTTTTTGTTAAGACCATCGAGGAATGGAATGCGCTGCCTAGTGAAATTGTCTGTGTTGCAAATGTTTGTGTCGCAAACACATAAACATTTCTTTTTTTCTCGTTTGTTCACTCCCTGCAGTAATACTTGATACAGGTGCTGCATGCTAAAAATGAATAAAGAATAAAGAGTAAAGTTAGCAAAAGCAATCAAATTAAACATTGAATCGTAGCTGCAACTTCCACTTTAGATAGTATTTGAATTTAAAAAGTAAAAAGAAAACCGGCCGCAGACATAAGTTAAAAGGACGCAGGCAACAAAGAGTCTTCAACTCTTTTCAACGCAACAAATCACTGTGGACTCCCTAACAGGATTTAACATGGAATCTAGAAAACAAAAGCAACTGATCGCTTCGAAACCAAAAAGTAGGCGCACAACAAAGAGATCTTCGGAACTTTATCGTCTACACATATGTGTCCCATGTCACCCTTTTTCCAGTTTTGGATCAATTGACTGAGAGACAAACTGTCCTGTGACGAACTGCACTATATGACCAATTGTCCTGCTACGAGTCGTCCTCTTACCAATTTTCTTCCGACAAACGGCCTGCAGCACCTCTAAAACTTTTTTGTACATTTACTAAAGTACATTTACATTGCTCTAAAGTGTACATTTGTACATTTAAGAGCAATAACCAGATATCCTTAGCACACACTACATTTTGGACCAGTGTAGGACAGCTTCTCACAGTCAACTAAAAAAAGTCAGCTCTTCTCCACTTAATTTTTTTTTTAAAGCATTATAGTGAAAAGGGTCTATGAACATGCCAAACAAATGACCTTACATCATACTGCCAATGGCCCAATTATTTTTATTTTTCATTTATTGTGCTGAACTTTAGTATACTGGTGTACTTCTCAGTGGTGATCTCAAATATACAATTATTTTTTCAGATGGCTTTAGTAATCAATAAATTTTTAATTTTAGTTAGGTTTTAGCTTCCTCTGTACATCCCACATTAGCAGTGCTCTGAAGTCAGTCAACCACAAAAGCCAGGTAGAAGCAGTAGAGTCAAACATTGTACATTTAAAGGAAACAATGGCATGCAAATCGACCTGGTATTTACAAAGACGAGACACCCGAAACAAGCGAGGTTCAGCGAGGACGCTTCCCGCTGCACTCACCGGCTGGCGAACTCCCGGGTGAAGTGTGCCACGGCCGCCCCCTCGTCCTGAGCGCTCTCGGGCACTGCGCGAGTTCGGCACGTGGGAGGAGGAGGGGCGAGCTGCGGGGGGTTCTGCCTACGAAGCCCCGGGCGGGCTAGCCACTCACTCATAGGCACGCGAGTCCGGGTCGATCTCCGTGGCGCGTCCTCTTCCACAACCATCCCGAGGCATTCGTTGGCGTCTTCAAACTCTTCCAGGCTGCTGCTGTCGCTGGACACCAGGTCCACGATGGGCTGGGGGCGAAACGGAGTGGGCTCGGACAGGGCGCACGGTTACTAGGTCCACAAGAGGGCAAATCCCTTAAAGGGCTACTCCGCTTCAGTTTTGTTTTTAAAAAAACAATGTAGTCCTCTTCAGTACCACCTAGGAAGACCCCACATTGAATATTACGACTTACCGTAAAATACCAGGGAAGCGCCCACTCAAACTTAGGAGATAATCACAAAAAAATGGGAGATAGGCGCTTGTCTGGTCATAATTTTATATAGAAATGTACTGTGCATATTTTTCAGATCTTACAAACTTGGGAATGGGCGCTTAATGTGGAATGGGCGGATGCACGGTATTCTACGGTAGTTCTGTCTAAATGTTTCCTAAACGGTTCGGCAAACTTTGCGACTCGTCAACTTGTCGAAATTGGCCGACTCGTTCAGGGCGAATTGAGGCGCAACCAACAGCGCAGTCAAGGCTAAGACATGGGCGTAGCCAACATTGAGCTAAACGTCATCACCCTTGCCCCTCTTAGCTTGTTTTTAGTTCTCTGGGCAAGCGTAGCGGGAGACGTCAGCGACGTTTCCTTTCAGCACTCAGTGGTGTCCACGTGACTGGCATAATGTCCCGCAGTGGTCCCGCTGTCTCTTGAATCACAACACCGTCGCCGTCTTACCGTTTGTGAATATTGTCTTTCGGAGTTTCATTCACACTACGGACACTATGTGTGCAGACGTCGTCGAATGCCGTAGACACTGAAACGTGGTGAAGAGTGTGGTGCAGACGACACCTGCGCCTGGTACGCGGCTGCCCCAATCCCTCCCGTCGTTGCGTAGAGGATCACGTGACATCTCACACCACGTTATAGCAATGTTCTTGGCGGCTCGAGGTCAATGTTGCCGGACGAAGCCGAAGTTTCGGTTTTGATTTCTGCTCGTGTTTAAAATTAGATTTAACATTATAGATCCCATTTGTTGCAAAGCAAATGACGTAGTGTCTTGTACTATTAATTTTTAATGCGAAATCATTGATTATGCCGATATCTTTGGAAATGAGCGGAATAGCTCTTTAAAAAAAAGTATATTTTGAGAAATGTCATATTATATTTATAACATTCAAGCATATCTAAAGTACTGCTCCCAGAAAGCTTCATTTGTTTACACTGTCTAGTTACTTTTATATATGTTATTTTTGTTCAAGCACTTTGGATGCATTTTTCTCCATTCCATTTTTTGGCATAAATTTCACTTCTGGGAAACCCTAGTTTGGTAACGAAACAAAAGGAAAGGCTCACTCATTGCTGTTCCCAACTGGAATTGAATGGGAAATGCAACTGTGGCATTGTTTTTTTACTTTGTGGATGCCTTCTATAAAAGATGCTAGGAATTTCTCGGCAACATAAAAGGCAAAAATTTGAGTTTTCAGCTTGATGTTAGCATAAAAAAGATTACTTTTGGAAATTTTGTTGTTACAGTTGCACTCTCCAGGCATTATGCAGCGTATCTGGTAAAGAAAAATGTTGGGTATTACATTAGTTTTCTAACGGTAGCTTTTCTAAACAATGTCAGTGTGTTCTTGATAAAAATGACTATAATGTTTTAATAAACAGCAGACAGCTGTCTAACAAGAAACGACATTGTGGGCTCGTTTAGTTAAAAAAAGCACTCATCAGCAAGTAGGAAAACAATGTTCTCTTTCTCGCTGCCAAGTGTTTTTTGCTGATACAACCGCCACATGTGTCCACAATGAGAGTTCTTGCTTTGACGATATTAAGCTTGGGTAGACGTCGGGTGATCAAAGAATTCTGTCTTTTCCTCTTATCTTCAGATCTAGGTGACGCCATGTTCTCAAACTGTTGCATTCCATTCCAATTGCTGGCGTCAGATTCTCAAGAAGTTTTGGCTTCCTGCGACGGTTAGTTTATTTACGCGAATCGAAAAGCAAAAAAATTTTTTCTGACATGCACCCGGAGGATATAAGTGTGCTCCAACACCCGTCCACGTCTACAGTTTCCCCCGCCACTCGTTCGGATACAAACTATAAAAAAACGTAGGTGGAGGAAGGGAAACCACGACACGGGAACACTCACGTGTTGCTGTTGGGAGCTCGCAGCTTCGTCCCTGCGCACCGTCAGCTGAAGCACGCGCTCGTCCCCGCAGATGGCAGCCAGCGTTGCCTGCACAGCCCGAGACTCGTCGAGACAAACCACCTTTTTCCGCACGGCACACCTGACCAGCCAACGAGAGGCCGACGTACGTGATCCCACAGCAGTCCCTGGGGCCACCCTGTCCATCGCTGATGTCGCACGGGTATCGAGGTCAGGTCGCTGACGTCCTGCTTGACCTGAAACCACGAAAGCAGTTTGTTGCTTGATGACATGAACAGTGGTTTTGGCCACAAAGGTAACTGCAATCAAATCACTTCACGACCTTTCGACATCATAAAATTTACAATGTTCTTTTCGTTGAGACCAACATCTAGGATAACCTTGATGATCTGTTGTTAATGCTGCAAAACAAAACCCAAATGGCTTTGTGCCCTCACGATACAGGATCACAACAAATGTATGAATAAATTCTGTATTTGATATTGACTTCACCTCCCACCAGAAAACTATGTTGTGTGAGCCTAGTAGAAATAATAAAGTTGTTTCCTTGGTTAGGAACTCCCCCCTCATTACAGTAAGAAGTCACATCAAAAAGGTTTAAAAATTTGGTGGTATTACAGCATTGACTTACGGCAGTCCATTTAACTCCAAATCTATAGTAGTTAGGCTATGTCTGTTGGAGAACATGGCCAATGCTTGAGCCAGTCAAGAGCTATGAACAGGGTGTCAATGTCTGTCCCTTGTCATGCTTGTTTAACCTTTCTTAGTACCCTTTCCACCAAGCGCCGAGGACAGCTTGACAAGTATAGCATCTTCGTGGACTCCATGACGGCTACTCTCAGAAAGGGGGCTACAAGTTACAGCTCGCTGCATTGCATGAGCGTACAAACAAAACTGTGAATTGTGACACACAATCACGACAGCACCGGTCGTTGCTACACAGTGGGCCCCGAGCCTTATATAAAGAGATCTCAGACAAGGAGAAGAGCATGGCATCAGTAGAGTCGTGCATATCCTTAGCAACAACAGAGCGAAGCAAGTCAGATCTTAATTAGACTAGCCACTACTGCAACCAATGGTGAATCCTCTTATCAAACTAGAATCAGACTGCAGACCACCCAAAGTAGGCATTGCAGTCTACTTCAGCTGACTGCAATGTCAGACGATCGAAAATTTTTTTTGGCCTGTTTTGATTAAGCTGATGACGACAGCCAATGAAGGGTTAAAGAGATGAGCCAAACTTACTTGCAGAAATGTCTTCGTGTGTGGAAAGTTGATGGAGTACTGTCCTCTCGTTGTCTCGTCCGTGATATTCAGTCTCACCTGGATGCCACTACCCAAACCAGAAAAAGGAATCGTTCAACGACACCCGTCGTCTGCTTCTATACACCTTTCCAAGAAACACTCGGCCCCAGGGACAAGACAACCCTTTCTGAGCCAACTCACTGGGTTTGAGGCTAGTCTCTCTGCTAGCCCTAACCGAGTGGACTGTTGATTTCGATAGGCGCAATTTCAGACACTGCTGGCGGAAAAATTCTTGCCTATTCTCGCTGCTTTTTTTTAAAAGAAATTGGGTTGTGTGTGTGTTTATACAGCCTAGAACTTGGTCTGCCTCACAGGGGCGACGAGTCTCCCAGCTGTAGATGAGAAATTTAGCCAGTGCGGTACAGCCGCTAGCCTGGGGTCTTTAACGTGCATCACGCAGTAGTGATACACGACCGCACGCCGGTACGATGCTCATCCAGATCGAAACGGGCAGGGGTGGGGCTCGAACCCAGGATCCCTGGGTTCTGCAGCGTGAGCTTTCGCTCCACGTGCTCCAAGCTGGTGTGCGCTAGACCACTCGGCCACCAATCCCCCCCTGCATTTTTTTTTTTTTTTTTTTTTGTTTTCCTTTTATGGTGTATAATTTTTCCGAGACATTGAGAAAGCATTGTGCCAGATATAAAACAAAAAAAACTGTAAACTATTTTTGTTGGGCATGCGTGTGAAAGAACGAACGCGGCTGGGACGTTTGCCTGATTTTACGACGTGTTTTGACGGAGCCGCCCTCTCAGCCATGTCAATCGAAAAAGCGCTTAGCCATTGAAAATAACCGACAAGAGAAGATACCCTAAAGGAATGCATATTTACGAGCACAAATAACGCAATTACCTATCCACACAACAGGACTCGGACGTGAAATTTAGCAGGTGTCAACATTCAAACAATATATTGTTTGAATATTCGGATAATGCTGCACCGCACGGTACAGCGCTATTCAAAAAGGATTTACTTGAGAAAGATCCTAAATAAAAAAAAATAAAAAAAATTGGGTTGTGTGTAATGTTTACACAGCCTAGAACTCGGCCTGCCTCACAGGGGCGACGAGTATCCCAGCTGTAGATGAGAAATTTAGCCAGTGCGGTACAGCCGCTAGCCTGGGGTCTTTAACGTGCACCACGCATTAGTGATACACGACCGCACGCCGGTACGATGCTCATCCAGATCGAAACGGGCAGGGGTGGGACTCGAACCCAGGATCCCTAAATTCTGCAGCGCGAGCTAAAGATCCTAAATAGCACAGCACAACAGTGTTGACGACGGGCACATCCTTGCGATCGGATGGAATCAAAGAGGACCTCGTTTCGAGCAGTACTGAGGCAAAGAAACGGACATGACTGGTTCATTCCCCAACCCAGCCCGAACAGCAATTATTGGCGATGACATAGAAGGACTCTGCACGGCTTATCTCCGGGAGAAAGGAGAACAGCCGTCATTGTTCGAAACTCGCGACGAGGGCCATTCAACGCTCTTGTTTTCCTTCGTTTCCCCCGAAAGTTGAGCAGAAACACTTGAACGGCATAAACTCACCGCCCTAATTTCTCACACGTGAAGATAACACAAAAAGGGTATGCAGAATGCACGAGGAAAATAAAGAGGAAACATTGAAGAGGGACCCGAAAACTTTGAATGCGAAACCGCAAAACATGGGTGGAAAATCGCGCCGAGCAGGTTTCAACAGTCCGAGAGAGTGGCAGAAAACTTCTAGCTGACAGGGGGCAGTCTCGCAGGCTGCTGCACCATCGTCAGCGATACAGTGGCAGCTTAGGAGCATTTTTACGTAAAGAACTGTCGCAGATTAGGAAAAGCAGGGCAAGTTCCTTCCACAATTCACAAAGGGGCTAGCCAGGAAGCCAGAGGCAATAGACAATCTCTGCTTCATACTTTTTTTTTTTTTTTTTCAGCAAATAAAGATGTGAGAGTTTCCATGCCACAGGTTTTATAATGTACTGCCAATCGCCCCAGTGAGTAAAAGTACAACACGCAGTCATACAACAAGCCTCCAAATGCCTTTCCTTTAATACTCGAGTTCGGCGTAGCATTCCCCTTTGTCACTGCTAAGGAGAAAGGCAAGTATCCAATGAAGATGACAAATAAACTCACGGCTCTGTCGTTGCCGCTGAACTGCTACTGTCTGGAAGTTCCGGGCTGCTGACGTGAAGAGTGCCATCTGGAGGGAGCTCCAGCAGTGAAACGGGCATCTGGGCGACATTACGACAACAAACAAATTGGTCGCGTCAATGTGTTGCACCAATGTCGCATACAAAAGAGTTCCAACAATGCGTCGCACCATTATTAAAAAAAAGAAAAAGAAACGGCGTAAGCATCGGAGACAGATGCAGGAAAGGAGATGAATGTAGCACAGTACTCTGGTGCGTTTATCTTCCAACTGGCCCGATCGTCAACGAGTGTAGCCCCCATGGGGTGGCTCGAATTGTCACAACAATGTGTCACTGCGTGCGTTTGGCCAACACACGCAGTGACAGATATGTGCATGTGTGATACATGGTACTTGTGTTTGTCAAAATTACATGTCACATTCATTAGTCGTTCCTATGTGCAACGTCTGGACACTACGCTGACATACCACACCGTGTCACTCAGACAGGTTGCCAACGTACATATACCTCATTGTTTCACCCCCATATGTGACCCTAGCACATCACACACTGTCACACATACCGTGTTATGCTAACGCGACGCAACAAAACGCAACGGTGTCGCAACCCTTTGACAGGTCAACGCACGAGAGCGGCGAATGCGAAGGGGGCGGGGCTCACCTCGTCCGACACGTTAGCCCATCCTTGTATCACCTGACGGCAGGGTGCCAGCCCGGTCTCCTGGTGAATGGCCGCTCGGATGTCCCCTGAAAAAGCCCCGAGACAGAGCGTTCGCAGACAAGCAGTTGGGCCCGTTCTGATACCGTTGCGCTTCCACCTCGGCACGTTCACTCTTTAAGACAACCACCACGGTCGCCGCAACCCGCTGCAAAAATCCTCGAGTTCACCCGATGTCACAATCGTTGCGAATCTCAGAAAAATTACGACACCCCTTTTGAAGTGTGCGAGGAAAGGATTATCATCCAGAAAAATTTTTGACAGTCGCAAATGAGCCTCGAATTTGCTTCTCCAGAGTTTGCCCGTGCAGGCTCTGCGGCCAGGCCCGCACCGCCGCACCTCTTACCGGCGGTCGGGCTGCTGTGTGTGGTGCGCTGCCATGGAGAGCGCTGTTCTGGTGGCGTTTTTCGGAGCTACGTTATACAAAAGCCAATGGGAGCCTCGTTCCTTGATGACGCGCGCCAGCCAATGGAAGTCTATTCATCAGATCGTGGCTTCATTTATCGCTCCATTGGGACAGGGGAGTTTAGGTGCCATTTCGCGCGGCTTCAAAGCTGATGACGTCAGTTCGCTCCATAGGACAATTAATGCTTTCGCATTAATATAACACCGAACATCGTAATTTAGGCAGTTCAACTTATTCCCGACGGGTTGCAAGAAGTTTGTCGGCGTGAAACAAATGCCGGGGAAGCTCACTCCAGCAGAGCAAAAACAGTGCGAGACAAACCGTGTTTTCTTTGACCACCCGCCCAACCCGCAAGCTTCACGACGTGCAACGTCTCCCCGCAGGTGAGCGCGGCGGATATTTGAACGTCCGATTCGGCATCGTGTTACATTACCGTTTCCTCGAGGGCTATTTCGGCTCGAGAGACAGCAAATAACACACCAAGTAGTGCAGAGCCAGGGTGTTATACAACCGCAGCTTGTTCGGGTAGCTCAAGAAAACCGTAAGAGCTCCAACCTAAAGTGTCAACGGCACACGGATTCACGTCGTCGGTACACACGAATCATCGACAGCCGGAGGACGGCGACTTTGGCACATGGGAGCTGTAAGCTTCACTCACCGCACGTGACGCCGTCTCGTGGCAGGACCAGCGGGAGCGTCCTGCCCCGATACTCGACCCGCACGTCGAGGGTGCTTGGTGGCATCTCGACAGGGGGCGCCGCCTCCTGCGGTGGCCCCTGCTGCTCCGAGGGCAACGACTGCGTTTCTTGAGGCAACGCCCGATGCACCGCGTCCTGCGTCCCCGACAGAGACAAGTGAGCAACTCAAACTGTAGCCGCCCCCTCCCTCGAGGCTAGGCCTCGTTTTAGCATGACTTGGGCCAACACGGCAGAGCAAACATTGCTGCGAGGCAGGACAAAGTATTTTGGCAGCGGTATGAACTTTGAGGAGTACAGGACACATGAATATGTGAACTTAAGTGGCAACCTCTCGAAGCCCCTCATGGAAATTTTCATCTAAAACTTCTGCATAAGTATTTATTATGAGCATTGCGGCATTGACAAAAGAAAATATTTATTGCAACCCCCCACCCCCCTTAATTTCTCACAGGTGGGATCACTCCAGAAATATTAGGTCCTACACATTTAAAACTGACATTTTTAAATACTCTTTTTTTTCCATGCACTATTTGGTATTGGAATGAGCTCTTCGAGGGTCTGGGGTTTAAAGATGTGAACTCGCAGTTTTTTACCATGCTCTCACCAGCTCTTTAATGTGTGCGACATACTCATATTCTTTTGCGTTTGCAGAGTGGCATCTCAACTTGTTTACAAGGTTTTCTAAGCTGGTTATGTCTGCTTTCTGTTTTGCTTTAGGTAGCAAGCAATTTTTTTTCTTTTCTTAGTGTTTTTGATGTCATTTTTTCGTTTGCCCCTCCCCACTGTAATTCGCTCACGGTGCTGTAGGGCAGAGCTGTATATGGGGAGAGTTTGGCCAGTCTATGATCTCGCCGCCGTAACGCCCCCTACCCGAGTGAGCCAATCAGCCCACGGCGCAGAGCAAGAGGCGTGAGCGCATGAGTGTGAACTCCCGGCTGCTCCCAGCTGGGCGGGGAGGGCCACCATTTTCATTCAATTGCCCGGTGGAATGCATAGAATCAATATCCATATCTCGGTTCTTTCCTTTTATTTGGCAGGCTCTGGCAAGAAAATTATCTAGAGTTATTCTTCGGTGGCTTCAAAAGCGAACGAATTAACTTTCTCCACATTTGAACACAAACTTTGAACAGGCGAAAAAGAAACAAGCCCATAGCAGATGACGCATAGCCTCAACAGTGCACTGCGTCGACGGCATTGCATCAAAATGGCGGTCATCTCCTCTTTGCTCCCTTCTTTCTCTCTCGCTCCTTCAGCGCTTTCCCCTTTCCCTTCACTTTTCTCCTCTCCAGTGCCTCCATCGCTACACCCACTGGCCAGACCCTCCCAACATACGGCTCCGCTGAAGGGAATCTGAAATAAATAAATAAATAAATAAAATATGACAATTTTTAACTGAAACACATGGGTTAGACATTCTGTCAAATGCAACATCGCATTTGATGTGTGACGCTGTGTCATGGGACTCTGTATTGTCATGTAACATCATCACATCATCTGACATCATGATGTCATGTCCATCAATTTAAAACACTGATGCAACTGAACTGTGATTGCCAAACCTTATAGGTCTGTGTAATGACAGGGTCTACTATGCACAGCACTGCTGCAATGTATATGCAGTCAAAGAATAAATAATGTATGGACTCACCAGGAGGTTCCAGTTGGCGTTTTCCAGGTACATGAAGCACTCTCCGACGTCCTCCATGCCTGTACATGACTGGCAAAAAAGAAGAAAAAAAAAGATTTTAGCGAGCACGCATGGTCTATTCTAACATTGTCCTGTGAGGACAGCGCTTGCAACTAAAATTTCTGTGCCCAGAAATAACTTTAAACAGTCTCACTATCTAGTTTGCTGGAAATTGGCAACAGGACAAGCACTGCGAAGTGTAAAATTTCAGCTACAAAAATATTCTGGCATGATAGAATACTGTGGATGTCTGGTGCCAGTTCACCAGAAGCAGAAGACGGCAAATCAAGAATTTTCCGTTATGTCAATCAAACTATCATCACAAGAAACAAACCTGCCCCCGATCAGAAAAAACTGGTTCTTTACAACCAGTAGAGATCTTACCTGACTAATGATATTACATGCCTATATAAATGAAATGTCTTCTGTTTCAGCAACTATATTTTCCCCTTGTAAAGAGCATGGGGTTCTTTTTTTTTTTCTTTTTTTACATTATTACGTTTTGACTGAGCGGCAGGCAGCGTAATCCAAGCTGATTCATGAGCTAACCACGATCACAACAAACGCGTGATGTCAAGTTCAACGAGAAATGCAGATACGCTTTTCTTTATTTTGTTATCGTTTCCACGCGGCCCTTTAACCTAACACCAGCTGTTGTGCGCATACTTTGTGCAAGTTCCAAGAACCGCGCTTTCAAGGTCCGTTACCATTAAAGCACCAACAGCTGTTCTAACTAGACACCTTTGTGGGGTACGCTGCAAAAGTGACGTATTGGTAGACAGTCGCCACTTCACAACACCGGAAAAACAGGTTTTCAAACAAAACAAACGATTTCACCATACAGCAATAAACAGAAAAGCGGATCATTGTCAGTCGCTAAGCCCACCGTGCGTCAGCAAAAACAGACAAAAGCATAGTGCTCGGGAACGTTGCGACATCAACCAGTGACAAATTTTGACAGGGTTGTTAGTGATCGCCTCAACAAAAAGATTAATTAGAGTGTTTTCTCTCTCTCTCTCTCTCTCTCTCTAATAATCACGAACGCTCATGAATTCGCGCACGATTGCTCCGCTGCAAAAGCGTTCACTCGCTGTAGTCTAGACTATTCTTAGCACGGTAACGCTGGACAGTCCAGGGAATGTTTGTTCAGTGCATGGCGTAAAATACCAGCGATGGGTTGGTGTGATCGTCGAAAACGTGCAAAAGGTGGCACTTTACAGTCGTCCGCGATTTTCTTTTTACTTTACAGATGACAGCCGAATTCGGACCTTGAAAAATCTACGCCTCGAAAATCGCCAGCCCACACGAATCGTGCGGAGTGAGTGTCCCGAAACAAGTCATACGACTGCATCTTTGATATCCGCGATGAGTCGTCTCTATGTAGGAGCGCTGCAGTGCTTCACAGTACGGACGAAAAACTTCTGCGGTAATTTTGTGCGTGTGTGTGGATGGACGCTAGGTAGAAAAGCTAGCGACGACCCAGGGACACTGGCGCGAATCTCGGCGTTTCTTGTCTTCGACGGATGTCTGCAAGTCGCTCTGTGCTTCGCCAGCACGCTGCGGGACACCCGCGTTGGACGATAAGGTAAACAGACAGAGAACTATGAACGTTATCTGTGCAAGTTTACCTGAAAATCGGCCAACACTTGATCTCGCTGAGCCTCCATTACTGGCGCACAGTCGACTCGCCCGTCGACCACTCACTCGCCGACTCGCTCGCTTCCTGAAAGACCGCTCGGCGCTCACTCCTCGGCTGCCTCCGCTCACTCGCTCAGCTCGCTCACCTCGCTAGAGAGTGTACTAACCTCGCTAGACCGCTAGACTGATAGACGCACTGTCTTTATGGATAAACTACCGCATGACGTAGGAGGTGTTGCTAGAGTTTCTAGTGATGTCAAAACCCAATTAATACTAAATTATTGAACAATCACCGCGCATTATTATGAAAACAAAAATGTTCTTGATTAGCTAACAAATAAAAACCTTCTTTTTCAGCCGTCAGTTTACTTTGTTAATTCTTATTTATGGGATTAAACTCAACTCTGGTGACTGTAGATGACTCTAAATGCACAAACGAACAGAGCATCGAGCGCATCTAACGATGCATAGATGCACTGCACATGAGCAGCCTCAGCTAGAGCACTATATAGTGCTCCAGTAGTGCTCTAGCCTCAGCAGCCTAATCCCCTGAAAATACCTCGCGTACGTAATTTTACGTACTAAATGGTTTTACCTGTGGGTTTTGCCTTTGTTGGAGGTAGTTTCCTTTGGTGGTTGAAGGAGTATTTCCGGTAATTCCTGCCCAGATGTTTAGTTGTATGTATGATCTCTATGGTTTTGGCAGTGGATTAGACTGTTTTGCTAGAGGTCGGTGGGCTTCTTGTTTGTGCATTGTGGTCCCTCATTCTCTTTTTCCTGTGTTGGAAATCCTATTTGCGTTTGAGTCCGTGTTGTTCTGTCCACTTGCTTTATATTCCCCGTTCAACATCGTTGTCTCCGTCGTCTCCCACCCCGCCCCTCCGACGATTGGTAGCGGCTAAGTGAGTCGCCACGGTATGGGGAAAAGCTTTTTCTCTGTCACCCAAGGTTTTTTAGAAACCAAATATTTTTTTTTTCACTCTTCACCAAGTTTAATTTGCAAATCAACGTTGCTGCAAATCAAATAAATTATTTACTGAATTGGGCGTCCACTCGCGCCACCTAGCCAAAAGCATCAAAACGAATGAAAAATTTGGGCGATGGCTCGCGCCATCTAGCACGCGAACCCCAAAACCCAAACAAAAACAAAAACCGGGTCGGCGCTGGTCGGCGCACGCTCGGTCGCCCCGTCTGCCGGTGGCCCGTGCAACACCACATGCGGCCACAGATGGGATTGGGCGTCTGCTGCATCAGCTCCTCGTCGCCGTGAGCCGTCTCGGAGATGTGAACAGGCGACGCCGCGCTCGGATTAGCCATGGCCCGTGCGTTGATCTCCCACCACCACGACGCCGGTGGATGCTGAGCGACGAGCCGCCGCCTCCACCGTCGGCGCCGGCCCAGCGTACGGGCCCCTTTGTTGTTGCGGCGCGACCATGCAGACAGGGCTGCGACCGCACGCCAAGACCAAGGCGCCCCCGGTGCCGCCGTCGCGGAGGCTGACGACACACGCGCAGGATGTCACCGAGACCGTGTCCGATCTCCGGGCCAAGACGATGCTCAAGGAGGCCGTCGACGCCGTGGTGGACAGCTTCGCCAAGAGCCCGCAAGGCTACAGCCGAGGTATAGATACTTGGCTCCGTTTCCTTGGGTCACTTTTCACTCTTATTTCATTCTAAAAGGGACGGGGTCATCATGCTGCTAACCGTTTCCAAGTCGCGTTTCGCCGCGCGCGCCTTGACATCGTTTCGGGATGGGACATTTCTGTTGTTTTGATCCTTCGCTTTGGAGTTTGACCGTGAGGTTTTGTTTTTTGCTGGGGGGGGGGGGGGGGGGGGGGGGGGGGGGGGGGGGGGGTCGGGTCGAATTAGTTGAACGTCGAGCGATCGGCGTGGGACACCAACAAACCGTCATCGGTTGTCGATCCGCCGTAGCAGAGCGAGCGAGTGCGCGTGTGCTACGTTTCTTCTTTTGGATTCTTTTCTTCGCTCCCCCCCCTCCTTCAGACCGGTGCTGGTGCGGGGCGCGTCTGCTCGCTATAAAAGTCCGGAGAAACGGCGGCGTTCCCACGGATGCTCGGTCGTCGTCGTCGTCGTCGTCGCGCAAGTGGCTGCTGGAGTGGCGTCTTTTTTGTATTTGTTTCGTTTTTTCTCTTCTTCCCCTCGCGTTGGATAAGCTCAAACTTGTTCTTCCGGACAACGCAAAACCAGCTGGCATTGGAAAAGCCGATTCGTCGGTCGTCCCTGACGCAGCTCGTCTCTCGCTGCAGCGCCGCCGCCGCCAACCTTCTCTCGTCGCCTTTTCATTTCCGAGGGAGCAAGGAGTTGGGCCCGCTGGTGATCCGGGTGAATTGGATCACGACTTCCCTGGCCAGTTTTCGTTTCTTCTTCTTGTCTTTTCTTTCTCTCGGCGGCGGCGGCGGCGTAGACCGGCTGAGGCGGCCCTCTCGGCCCAAAAAACGGCCGCGTCGGCTGCTGCCCTGCTGCCGCTACCATCTGCTACGCGTGCTGGTATTAGCGCAACATCGAGAAGGACAATCAGATCGACTAGACAGTGCTCGTTATTTCCCTCGCATCGCCCGCGGCTCTTGACCCAAAGTTTTCGCCGTCTGCAACCGCGCTCGGAAGAGGTGCCACCGTGCACGTGCTCTAAACCCCCCCCCCCCCCTTCCGTTCTTTCTGTTTTTAACAACTGGAAACATAATTGTGCTCCAATCGGCACGTGACGACTCTGCGCGGATAGTTTCTCGACCTTCGTCGAGAGCTTGTACCGACTGCGCATGCGTGGTGTCTGCCAACCCTGCCCTGCGTCCATCGAACGTTTCGTAAATGCGAATTGTAAAAGCATTCGTCTAAGTCTCTGCGCGTATGCGCACGATTATACATATGTAAAAGCGTACAGCTGCGTTTGTTCAGGAAATCGAATTACAGCGATAGCCTTATGAAAATAGAGCTATTCGCACTTTCCACTCTAAAAGTTTTAAACCCTTTTGAGGTTTATAAAGGTGCTCTTAAGGCTTTGCATTAAGGACTACAACATTCTGGCATCCCTCTTCCGTGTAATATAAATCCTTTACTACGTTCTACGGTACTGTTACGCCACATCCATAATTTCTTGACAAAGGGTGTAAAAAAGGTGCAGTACTGGGAGGTAAATAATTTTCGAGTGGAACGTCGAGTAAAAAATGGTTCACCTACCCGTACTGCACCTTTTTTACACCCTTTCAATAAGTGGGAGTATACCGATATTTGTTAGAAGGGTGTCAAAAAGTGTGAGGTTAGTACAGTATTGGAAAGTGAAGTAAATATATTTAAGTAGGATGCTGTCACACCGAAAACACTCCCATTTGTTAAAAGGGTGTAAAAAAGTGCGATGCAAATAAAGTATGGGAGAGTAAATCATTTTTAAGTTGGATACTGTCACGCCGAAGTTACTCCCATTTCTTGAAATGGCGCCAAGCGTGATAATAGTTTTGTATGGGAAAACAAATATTTTTTTTTTTTTCAAGTAGGATGCTGTCACGCCGAAAACACTCCCATTTTTTGAAAGGGTGTAAAAAGTGTGATAACTGCATTAGAGGGGAGCGACACTAGAATTGCTTGAGCGGAGGCTGTTTTAGCGACCGCGACGAGTAATTATCACTTGTATATATTTTTTTTTCTTTCTTTTTAGTAAGAGATACAGTTCATGAAACTTGACAACTATGTTTTATGCAAAATATTGGCGAGGGAAAAAAAATATTTTCATTGTTAATAATTGCTAACATATTCCCGGGAAAACAATTCCCTTTCAAATGGCGGGCACACGACACTAAGGAGCTGTAAACAAGGCAGCAATATGGTGTCATATGCTTCCTTCACGACGCTTGTTCATTTCTGTGTTTGTGATTTCTCTATCTGGCGTGTGTTGCATGTCGACTGTATGCATACTAATTGGGAGCAAACAAGGAAATTAATAATCTATATATAGAGAGAAAGAGAGATTCTTTTTAGGCCGCGACGTGGTGGTGTAACGCTGGGGAAAATTGAAAAGAGGGAGTGAGCGAAAACACTTTAGTTTGCATGTAGGAAGCATATCAGCTCTGCATACTGCGTGGCACCAACACGTTAGCGCCATGTAGTCTTCTTGGCATTGCCGCAGTGACCAAATAACGTCCCCTAGGTGTCGCAGATGGTACCCTTACGGGTGCAAAAAAGCAATTGTACCAGAGGTTTACACTTTTTCAAGACCCCTATTTCGATTCATGCACCCTTTTTACTCCCAGTGTGGGATGCGGTTGCATGGAACACCCACCTCAAACAGATTTAGACGAGCTTGTTTAAATATCACCTAATTATGACCTCGTATCAATCATTTTGACTTGGAAATACATTCCTTGGACTTAGAGATATACCTTACGTGAAATATTGGCGAGAGCAATGCTTCGTATGCGTCATTACGCAATTCAATCCCTTATGAAATGCAAGAAAAGAAGAAAAAAAATGCTTCTGTCGTTGTCATTGTTGTTTCAAGAAAATAAGTATTCGAGAGATGTTTTGATGGCCCATCCTATGCCGAATGGGACATTTCTTTTTTTTTTTTTTTTTTCAACTATCAGTTCTTAGTTGACGATGTTGACCTTAGGATTCTATGTTATACGGACATTTTCTTACAACTTATTGAGAATATGAGATACGTGACGGTGGACCCATTGAAGAGAGACTACTGTGTCTTCGCCGTGGAGCCACCCGTATTTTGCGATGTATTATTCAACGGCTGCAATCTGCTGATGGAAGTTGACTCCGGGTCGGCTTTTACGGTTGTCAACCCGCGTGTGATGCGCCAGCTCCGCATTTCCAAAAGCAGCCTCAGGCCGTGCACCTTCCAGCTGCGCTCTTATACACGGCAGAGTCTTCGGATTCTTGGAAAAGCAACAGCGGACGTTTCCTTCAAGGGCAAAAGCGTGGAATTGGAGCTTCTGGTTGTAAAGGGATTTGGCGTCAGTCTCTTAGGGCGCGACTGGTTCCGGTCCTTGGGCATTTCCCTGGAGGGTGTCAACCATGTCGACGCCTCGTTGCAGCATGTTCAGGCAGCCACAGTCCATAATGTGATGGACGAATTTTCTGAGCTGTTCCAAGCAGGATTCGGGAGAAGCAAGGGGCCGCCAGTTCGTGTAGATATCGACCCCGCCGTGAGTCCCAAGTTTTTTAAGGCCCGTCAGGTGCCACTTCCGCTGCTGCCAAAAGTCGACGAGGCCATCGATAAACTGGTGGAACAAGGAATATTTGAGCCTGTTCGTCACTCTTCCTGGGCAACCCCCGTCGTGCCCATTCTCAAGAAGAATGGGAACATCCGCCTATGCGATTACAAGTGTACGGTAAACCGTGCCCTCCGGTGGGAGACATACCCTTTGCCTACGGTTGATCAGCTGTTTGCCAAACTGGCTGGCTGTCAGAAGTTTTCCCAGCTAGACTTGGAACAGGCATACCACCATGCAGAAGGAAGTAGACAAGGATACAGCAGATCTCCAAACGGTCAACACTCATCGAGGACTTTTCCGGGTCACACGTCTACAGTTCGGCGTTGCTACAGCCGTAGCGATCTTCCAACGCTACATGGAAGAATTGCTCGCCGGACTTGATGGTGTTCTGGTGTTCCTCGACGACATTGTGATTGGTGGCAGAAACAGTGAAGAACACGAAGCCCGCCTCCGGGCCGTGCTGGAGAGAATCAGTGACGACGGTCTCCGCCTGAACAAGGGCAAGTGCAAGTTCGGAGTGCCTCAAGTGACGTTCCTGGGGTACCAAGTTGACAGGAAAGGCATACATCCTACGGAAGACAAGGTTCTGGCCATCAAGACCGCTCCCGAACCGGAAGACAAACAGCAATTGCAGTCTTTCCTTGGCCTCTTAAATTTCTATGGTCGGTTTGTGAAAGGGGCTGCTCATGTTTTGGAGCCTCTTCATCGGTTGCTGGACAACGGTGCTGCATGGAAATGGGGAAGTGAAGAAGCGACAGCTTTCCGACAAGCCAAGGATCTATTACAGTCGTCCGCGGTTCTGGCACATTATGATGTCGCCCTTCCCTTGGTAGTGGCCTGTGATGCTTCTTCGTATGGGTTAGGATTCGTCATGAGCCATGTCTCACCGTCGGGTCAAGAATCTCCAGTAGCGTTCGGGTCAAGGGCAATGACACAAGCAGAACGAAACTACTCACAGATGGATCGTGAGGCTTTGGCTGTCATAGCGCGGGACTGAACAAGTTTCATCAATTTCTGTACGGACGGCATTTCAAGATCTTTACGGACCACAAGGGGTTGCTGCACCACAGCAACCCGATTCCCCAGGTCTTGTCACCACGCAACCCGATTCCCCAGGTCTTGTCACCACGCCTTTTGCGCTGGAGCCTGATGTTGGCAGTACGACTACGAGCTCATACCGACCTGGCCGGCAGATGGGAAATGCTGACCTTTTCAGCCGCCTTCCGCAGAAGGTTCAGGACTTCGAGGTACCTCCTCTTCATGACGTTTTGCTCATCGCGTCCACCCCCGAGGTGCCTGTCGACTCAAAGAAGATAGCCTTCCTAACAAGGAAGGGTCGCGTTCTCGCCCTCGTACTGCGTTGGATTTTGCATGGCTGGCCATC